ATATTTTGGGTGATTCGAAGGATGGACACATATGTTGGGGCCATGCTTGGTTTACCGCGATTTCTGGACGATGAGGACATTGATCAGGAGTGGCCGGTTGAGGTCGATGACGAGTACATTACGGAGACGGAGATTCTGCCCATGCCCAATGGAAGCATTTCTGTCATGGCGGCCTTCAATGCCCATACGCGTCTCGTCCAAATCTTGAACAAGATCTGCAAGTACGTGTACCCTATTAAGGGCACGCAATCAGGCGCCAAGAACTCCGTGACTTATTCTGTGGGCTACTCCAAGATTCGCGAAATCGAACAGGATCTGGCAAGATGGCTCGACGAGCTGCCTGTTGCGCTCAGGCCGGGCGGTGACGCCCCTCCGATCATCAGGAGGTAAGCTGGCTATCTAACGTAATTATTACAGCTACTGACACACACTTAGGGTGCAACAACTTCTCCGTATGGCATTCGGACACGCCCAACTTTTACTCTATCGGCCATTCCTACACTACGTTTCGCAATCGTACAACGTGAACACTGTGGACCAGAGGGCCTTTGCTTGCGCTTCTGCCTGCGTTAACGTCTCACGCAACATCATTCATATTTCCACGGAGATGCGAAACCGCGGTCAATTGGCTGGAGCATACTGGTTCTCCATGTATACGACCTTCTTCGCTATTGTATCAATTTTGTATTTCGTGTTGGAGAACCCACAAAGTCCCACCAGCTTTGAATTGCTACGGGATGCAGTGGAGGGGAAGGACGTATTGGCATATTTCGCGAAGAGGAGCCTAGCCGCTGATAGGTGCAGCACAGCGCTAAAGGTAAGCACAGCACTAGGTTTCTTTGATTAACAGCACTAACAATGTTTCGCAGGGCATGTTTGAACGTCTCCCGGAATCAATCAGGCATGGTGGAGAGATCATTGCATCGCGGAAGCGCCGACAAGGAAGCTCGCCGCACTCTCTTGGTACCCGCCCTACCTTCTTTGGTCAGAGCGATGCCGCCGCGCCCCGACGTGCGAGTACCTATCCCGATAGCATTCCCAACGTCAAGACTGCTGGCCAAACCCAGCCATTCGAGTCTGCCGGCCCTGAATTTGGTAGCATTGGCTTGGGTTCTTCTTATCCCACACACTCGGTCTCCAACCCCAATCTATTCGACGGTGTTCCAGGCCTTACACCCACATCCTCCAACGATAGCCTACCGAGTTTCGGTTTGGCTCCTATTCATGATTCGCAGCAGGCATCATCAGCCTTTGGTCCAACAAGCTTAGGCAACCCTTTGGCAGACCCGTCAGGTCTTAACGTCCCGATCGCAGACATCTCAACAATGATGTTTCCGTCTGCCGACCCGCTTGCCTACCCCAACCAGCCCATGACTGCTTTTGAAAACAAGCATCCGCAAACTTTCGACCGCAGTACTGGCACACCGGTGAGCGGTCACCCTCCTCAACTCTCGACCAGTATGGAAATGAAAGGACACCCTGCCATGTTTGCTCCCACTAGCACGCCCAATTCGCAAGCTCGACCCATGGATAGTGAGGCACAGATCTTTACTTCCATGCCCATGTATTTCATGCAGGGCAACCAGCAATATCGTGGATATCCACCTCAACAGGGTATGCCGATGCAAACATCCAGCAACATGCCTTTTGATGAGTTGATGCATCAAGAAGACTGGTCGCAGTCTTTTATGGACCCTGCGATGAACATAAATGATGGGAGGTCATCGCTGAACAATCCCCAATTTGGCCAGAATGGCTGGCGTTAGTATGTCGACCCACACAGACGCAGTCCACTGGACGTGATCTCTACGCGTTCATATTTGCTTTCTGCTTTATTACAAAGCATCACGAGTCCAGTCTATCGATGTGCATCAGCTTCGACTATGAGCGGCCTCCTCGCATACGCCCTCCTTCCCACACAACGATTACGGCCGATCTTTCCTTAGTACACTGAGCGTTTTTTTCCGGCGTTTGCGAGTCTACCAAAAGCATTATACCCCATTGTCAACCGGCTGGCACCGATGAGCTAAGCGTTTTCCAACGGTATGCGTAGGGTGAGGACAGAGCCTCACTGACGTAGTTGTGACTTGCCAGTCCACTACGATCGCGACCTGTCCAATGCATTTCAGCATTGATTTTTATTGCTTTGAAGACTTCGGCTTCGATTTGGCGTTCTAGATGCTAGACTTTTTGAGTGTGACGGACCTCGCGGCTGCGAGTGTATGTTGAGCATTCCACGAGAATGCTCATGAAGGGCGGAAGAAGTGCGTTGAAGGACAACACTCGTTTTATTCGAGCCGGTAACAGATAACGCCGTAAATTAGCAAATTGACTGAAGGCGATACCTAGGTATCGCGCATAGCTTACAAGAACTCAAGTGCAATGCACGTTGCTGGAAACAGTCTGGGGATCAGCACCAGAAGCTGATTGATGAAGTCTATCTTGACCTAGCTAAGTGAACGGTAAGCCGATGTCAGAGCTAGGCCAGCCATTTGCACGACAGGTGAAAGAAAACTTATGGTCTTAAAACGGAGTCTGGGTGGAGACTAGCACAGACACCCAGTCACTACAGTAGCCCGGCGGAGCGGGGTAGATCCCATGCAGACTTCCAAGGCCGTGCCTAGACCTCCACCTTCGGCGCCGAAGCCGCCAAGTGCAGCTCAACGTGGGCCAAGCGCTAGCACCCACCATTGAGAAAACGGCAAGTAGTGTGGATTAGTGTTTACCGACAATTGGGGTCTTGGTTACCAAGCGGTTTCCAAGCGGTCTTCTGTGTCCCAAGAAATGGTATCTAGCGACCTTCTTAACCAGGTCATCGGGGCTGACGGACTAGATCTTTTGTACCTTGGCTAAGAGTTGGCTAAGAGATTAACAGGTTTTGTCGGATATCGTAGTGAGTACTGTTGCAGCACCAAGGAGGGTATCGGCTCGTGGGTTACCGGAAGGACCATGGGAAATTGTATATGTAGGCGTGGTGACGCTGAGCATGTGAGATACCGGGAACCTCACGCACCATTGGGCTGACGGAGAATCGCTATCATGGTTCACGTATCTTCGTTGTCCGTTCTTGGCTCTGCCTTGGTTGGATTGAGTAATGCGGCTGCCTTGGGTACTGCGGAGGAGTATGCCGATGGTACTGTGCATGCGAGGATTATGGGCATGAAGATTGTAAGGCTTCCTGGTTTCGTTGCATGTTGCCTCATGCTTATACTAACTCCAACAGGCGCAATGGGATGCTGAGATTGCCTCGGGAGAGATGGATAGCACTCGCTACCCTGAATTAGGTCACACTCCATGTGAAAACGGCTTCGCTGCTGCAATTCCTGGGGACTTCAACAATACGTTCAGGTGCCATAACGTCAGTTGTCTCAAATTCCAAGTGCCCATCAGCTCGCTAATGTACGTAGATCGACCTCTATCATTTCCTCCCACATTCCTTGCTTGGTAGCTCTGATGGTCAGGGTTCTTCTTCCTGGGGCTGGACATCGGAGGATGGACGCGAGTTTGTAGCGATCGGCCAGTTCGACGGCACCGCCTTTGCAGAGATCAGCAGCGAAGGAAAGCTCATATATCTTGGTCGCCTGCCTCCTTTTGACCCTATTGGATCCCGCTGGCGCGAGATTCGCGTGATGAGGGACTACGCTGTCATTGGTAGTGAGGCCATCAACCACGGCGTTCAGATCTTCGACATGAAGAAGTTGTTGGACCTCGACGGAAGCGAGCCGATGAACTTTACTCAAGACGATTTGACTGGCCACTGGGGTCTGACTGACGACTGGAACGCTCTCCCGGTTGGCCGAACCCACAATATCGTTGTCAATGAAGAGCTCAACTACGCCGTAGCAGTCGGATCTGTTGGCGGTAACGAGACGATCCGCGTCCGTGGCGACTTGCCATGCCGCGGAGGCCTCATCTTCATCGACATGAGCGACCCTGAAAACCCGACTAGCCCAGGCTGTGCCTCTGCAGATGGCTACGTCCACGATGCCGAATGCATCGTCTACCGCGGGCCAGACACTAAGTACTACGGCCGCGACATTTGCTACGGTTACAACGAAGACACGCTGACCATCTACGACGTAACTGACAAAGCCGGCAACACCACCAACATCATCTCCCGCACCACATACCCTGGAGCAGAGTATGTTCACCAAGGTGTCGTTAACAACGCAACCTGGCAAGAATACATCTTCCTCGACGATGAATTCGACGAGCGCGACGCCAAAGTCGGGCCCATGACACAGGGTCTGCCTACCACCCACATCTTCGACATTCGAGACCTAGAGAACCCTTTCTACTCTGGCAACTACGAAGGAAAGCGCCGCAGCATCGACCACAACCAATACGTTGTTGGCGACTACCTCTACCAATCGAACTACGGAAACGGCCTCAACGTCTTGGATATCCACACCATTACGCAGGATCCTAGCGGCGACGGCATCTGCGAAGCCGGATTCTTCGACATCTACCCCGAGGATGACGAGAACGAAGGTGGCGGCACAGTCGCTTTCCTCGGCTCCTGGTCCAGCTATGCGAACTTCAAGAGTGGATTCATCTTCGTGCACACTATCGAGCGTGGTAGTTTCGTCGTCAAGATGACGAGCAAAGAGTGTGCGAAGCCGGCCGTTTGCGAAGTAGACTCTTGTCTTACATCGATGCGCACAGCAAACGTGGAGGGAAGACTTCAGGCTTCACAAGAGTTCTGCGGCAACTTTACACAGAGGCTAATTGATGATGTTCGTGCTGTGCCGGAGTTTGCGCAGGAGGCTTGTGCGGGTGAGCAAGTGGTTGCGCAGGTCAGCAGTGCGTGTGCTTGCTTGCCTACACTTGCTGTGCCTGAGTTGCCAAGGACGACGACTAGGGGCCCAGTGCCTACGGTGCTGCCGCCGAGGGTCTAGATAGTGGTAGCAATGTTAAGGGCCTGACGTATGATGACAACATCGGGCTGAGATAGAGCTCCCCACGAGAATGGACAAGATGAGATGCGTTTTCACAACAAAGATCATGTTGTACTCGCCGCACCTGAACATAGTCGTCATTAAGTATTAGTTGCTACTAGGATCGAACATGTAAGGTGACACAACGATAACATTGTATGCTAATTGCTGAGCAGCGTAGCTGCTATGATGAATAAATATTTACTGAAAAAGAAAGATGTACAAGAGAAAATAGGAAAGGCCACAGGCCGATCCAAAACTACTTCATGGTGCTCCAAGGCATTGCACTCGTCTCATTCTGGAAGTTAGCAAGAAGCACCGGCGGGGATGTTGAGGCAGCTAGTGCTCTTCTGTCCGCCAGTGACGCTGTTACCGGTCCAGGTCCAGTTGGAGCAGCTGCCCTTACCGCAGAGAATGTAGATATCAGTACCCTTAGCAGCAACGGTACCCTTGACGTTCTCGATGGTGAGGCCAGTGATCGGGACACCGGTGGTAGGCTTCCCAGTAGGAGAGCCGTTCTGGTAGTCTTGCTGGATGACGATGCCGTATTTGTTAATGTTCTTGAGGGTAATGTTCTTGTATGTGACGCCAGAGACAGCACCAGTAGCACCAGAGACGGTCTTGATGCGGACACCGTTATCGGAGTTGATGATGGTGGAGTCGGAGATGATGACATTCTTGACGGTGTTGTCGCTGCGGCCACCTACAGAGCCAATGGAGATACCGTGTCCGCCAGAGCAGGTACCGCCGGTGAAGTGGATGTCGGTACCGGAGTTGACAGCCAGGCAGTCGTCCTGGTTCTTGATGTTGGCGTTGGTGATGTATACACCAGTGGAGCTGCCAACATCGAAAGCATCGGTGTTGTGACCGCCGTTGGTGATGTCACCAGCAGTGTTGTCGATGGTGATTTTATCGAGGGTGAGGTCCTGCGCGCCGTTGACAGAGAAGCCCTGTACAGGGGTGTTCTTGACGTTGAGTCCGGTAATGGAAGATGAGATCATGGAATGGGCGTAGAAGAACTTGTCAAGTCAGTTGTAGCTCAACAGAAGATCTATTTTGACTTACCTTGGGCTTCGTCTTGCCGCCGTTGGTTCCCTTGCCATCCCACCACTTAGCACCATTTCCGTCAATGACATGGCCAGCAGCGCCGATGACTTTGATGTTAGTTCCCGAGACAGAGATGAGAGGACCCTCCCACTCCTTGTAGCCGAAGGTGGTCGTGCCCTGGAAGGTGACAGTGGTGCCTGTCTTGAGCTTTGTCAAGTCAAGGGTAGTTCCTGCCGGAACAGTCATACCCTGTATGACAATGGCAGTACAAGAACCCTTGTTCTTAATAGCTGTAGCAGCATCAGAGAATGTGCAGCTTGCACGGGTGTCAAGACTAGAAGGAGCAGCGGAGACGAGCGCGCCAGCACCGAGAAGGAGAGAGGTGAGTGTAAAAGCGACCATGGTGAATGTAGCCTGAAAAAGGTGATGATCGAAGGGAATGTAAGGCTGATGTGCAAGGAATGAATGAATGAGTGGCTTGTTGGATGCTGTAGAGAGGTGCTGCCATGAAGGCTTTATACCAGTGCTTCATCGACGGTGGTACGTATTGATAAGTGGAGCCATCGGAGGATTCACACGAGTCGTCGACAAGCTCAAATCCCTTGAGCTTGTCATTGCTGGGCAAGGCTTGTCATCGCAGAAGGTCTAGGGTCTGTGAGAAATGAGGGCAACAAGCGGATGGCTCTTGCGCCGGTGTTCTCGCTGCTTGTAACAGGTGGATCCTCGGTAGAGGCTACTCCGCTTTGTATAAATGAAACAAGATCTGGCCTTGATCGCATTGTCTAGTTGTTGGTGGGCGATCTATGTGACAATTCTCCGTCAAACTAATTGTCGTCCTCGTGACTTCGGGCGTACTCTCATTGCGACTAAGCATGCAGTCTCCTCACAACTGAGGCTTCTACAGCACGCGGGTTTTCTGAACTACTATGAAGTGTTCGTGTCTTGCCGTGCTAGCTCAATGGTGAAACGAAACAACTGGTCCAGACGCGTGGCGCCGCTGTCTCGTGGCGCAATCGGTCAGACGCCATTGCGGATACGGTAAGCACGTTCACGCCGCAGGCCGCCGATTGATGGAATGTCACCAGCCACACAGTAAAACGTCCGTAGGATTGGAGCGATATGCAGAATTGACGGAGAATTGTTAGAGTGAAAGGGTAGCTGCATGACTATTGGAGGGGTTTCCAGAAACGAATCTAGGTTAGCGCCCGACTAGCGTCCGGTCACCGAAAGTAACTGGAGCGACGTCCCGCACCCGCATGAACCCTTTTCCATCCCATCGCCATCTCTCGGGGCGCGCATTCGAGCACTGTTGCATCGAGCTGTATCGTTTCTACGTTCAACATGATTGTGAACTTCGCACAACACCCATCGCAGCACAAATTTTACTCCCAAGCACACGGGCCCGCGAACCAGGCGGACACGGGAAGCAATTAGGTATAGCCTCAAATCTCGGATCTACCCCCTAGCCTTCTCACCGCTCTAGACACTACGAGTAATCATCGTCGCATCTATGCTCACGGCCGCCGGACGAAGAAACCATCTTGTGGCAAGCCCTCTACTAAAAGACTCCAGGCCACCCAGTTTCGCAACAACATAGTCGCTATCCAACGCACCTCTTTTACCATACCTCGAGCACCTGCTATAGCCATGTCCTCATCAGTGATCATGAACGGTCCTGGTTCTAGCTTCACCAAGTAACATACTAGCCAGTCGGCGCACCAAAAGAGATACAGACAGCGCGTTCGATAGACCTGCAGATCCATCTCTTCGATCCATGTTTCCGCCACAGTCTGCACCTCCTTGAGCCCATCGATGGCGTTACCGAAAGCACAAGCCAAGGCAGCCATCGACGGAAGTGGACATGCGTCGTGTATGAAACCGATGCCGATGAGTTCCAGGTAGCGCTGCTCCAGCATCTTCGCACAATTGCGCAAATTCGCGGTCGAAATCAGATCTCTAGTTGTATACGCAGGATCTACAAGAGCTGTTGCGTAGTGTGCTACGCGGGTTGATATCAGGTCTTCGCGTAAGTCTCGGATGAACTTCCGTGCCCACTCCATGTTCCCTTCCATAGGGGACAGTGGGAAAAGGCTGGCCCCAAGAGGTAGATGAACGTCGCGGCGTGCTTTCAGAACGACCTTGTCTAGGAACCTGGCTGCTGTGAAATAATTGCCCTCTAGATATACGTCGCTTTCCATCCTCTTGACATCCAGTGGCAGATGAGCCAAATTGTCCTTCTTGTATGTGTCAAATCGCTCTTCCTGTAGATGCTGCCCATTTTTGAGAGGAGCAGGCGCTGGCGGTACGTCGAACATGTCGAGCTTGGTAAGGATGGCGTCCAGTGAGCCGCTGTCGAAAAGGAGGTCATGGAAGTGGTTGGCATACCTTTCGATGGGAAAGTTGGTCACCAGTTCTGTTAGTGTTGGCTTCCCATGAGTCTTGCCACTTGCTTCCCCGTTCAGAAGGCGGATGTCTTCGTCCGAGATGGTATTCAGATGGACATCCAAGTTCCTGCTCTTGCGTATCACATCTGGAGCATCGCACTCGTAGTACAACGCCGCATGTCCGCAGTCGTAGAGGATAGTAACTGGTGAGTTGACTTCAGCCTGCTCTTGGGCTGTCAGCACTACCAGCGGTCGGGGCGTGGCATCGCCTGTCAGAAACACGCTGTGTTTCCCCGAGGGACCGGATGCTTTGTCATTGCGCATTTCCCATACTACCGTTATTCGCAGATTGTCGAAAAAGTCACCTTCATCGCCCTCAGAATGGAAGCTTGGTATGTCGCGTGCGGCGTCGGTCGGGAGCCTCCACTCATTTTGGTGTCCAGTAAAGGCTGCGTTGATGGGACCGCCTAGTCTGAAGGCAAGGAGCGCAACGACGAGAGGGTGTAACATATCTTCTCGGACAGGCTCTGATATAGAGAATTCGAATGGGCTAGATGGCAGCCCAGGCGACGAGCACCCACTCGCAATAACCTGCTCCTCGATCGGCGAAGCTACGACCTCCTTATCCTCTTTGTCGCCAAACGTGAATGCGACAACCCTGGACCTATCCAGTGTCTGCGCCAGAGTGCTGAACTTCTCGACCAGCTTTACAGCGGCATCGCGCTGATTAAAGCCTTCCGTCTGCACACACGCTGCAAGGAGTGCATTTAGCAAATTGCGCCGATATTCAATTCTTTTAGCACACGCTCGGGCATCTTGAGGCCTTTCTTGCAGTACTTGGGTATGATGGCGGCATGCAACTCTATTTGTCACGAGGCGCCCCACGAGGTTGGCAGGTACATGGAGAGCGACGTTGGAGTGGTCCATGCTGAGCCCTGAATCCACTAGTAACCTGGAGTAGACCGTGAAAGCACCCAGCGGAAGGATGGTTGAACCACTGGTGGTTGTGGCGATTGTTGTGGTGATATCGAGATAAGCTCGCCTGAAGAGTGCGATTGCCGTGAAACCGTAATGTGCGTGTAGCGCCAAGCTACAGCAACAGTGAGTCCTCAGGGCGCAGGTAATGTTTCCTTGTCCAGCTCTTTCACCTGTTTAGCCTCACCTACTGGAAGCTAACAAGCGGTTTGAGACCATCAAGCACATCGTCAATGTCTCACCCCACGGTCAAACGCCTCTCAAGTCTTAGTACCACGCGCATCCGCTACTCACGACGTCTCGTTTGCAGTCTATCAGCTTCGGGGCAAGAATCGTCGCCTCGCGATACGGTCGAGCCGCGCTCGTTCAGGCTGTGTCCATTATATCCTTGACCATCAAGCTTGCAGTATGTATCCTCCAGACCGATAAACTTCGGATATGAAGACTGACTGTGAAAGGGAATCAGATACGCACCTTCACATTCGGTGGTATGAAAAACTGGTTCATCGCACCGATTCAAGCTGAACGAGATGTCGACATGATGACTGTGCCATCTTTCCAATGATAGCGCCGCGCGGTGACAACTCAATGAGTATGGCCTTGCCTGAGCAATAGGCTGAGGTGTCACTAAACAGGTAGGGAAAATGTATTCAGTGTGAGCTTTTCGTCAAACTCATCTTTCTGACGTCAGTTTATGACACACTCGATCTCCTGCAACAGCGTATTGGCATGAGCTCAGCATGGCCAGAGATGTTGAATGTGGCGCCCAGTAACCAGTGTGAATGTAACATTTGTTTACACGTCTCGTTCGCAGCCTCGGTGACCAGACGTTGGGTGTATACATAGAGAGCCAAAAGGACCCGGTTGTTGTTCTGGCGCTCCCGAAATGGCACTGTCTACTAGTCCACTGTGACCGCTCATGGTTTCGGAAACATCGACGCTAGCGACCAGGTTCGTCAGGGCTCGAGCGCGAAGATGAGAAATCGAAGTAAGCACAAATGACTCATGACAGATTGGGCATGCGCTGACGTTGGGGATTTAGGCGCGCGATACAGAAAGTCATTGTATTGCAAAGAGAGCGTCTGTAGTTGAGTGGATCAACATCTCGCCACCATGATGATTTAAGATGCTTCATACTGACTGATAAGGCATCGTGGTAGAATTTGGGCAGGAATCGGCGTGGGCGCTACTTTGAAGGCGACGCCAACGCCTGCACTCGGGCAGTCTATTTGAACGAACCGGGCCGTTGGATCTGACAGCAATCTGGTACCGATATTTCTTCCGCGACAGGTTGAACGAGCACGTCTCGATGTTTGCCATCGTCGCAACCAAGGCGGGGTGGAACAGTCGATAATGTAAGCATCGAAATGAAGCCGGAAGATCGACCGCGAGTCGAGACAAGGGTGAATTCGCATCAAAGCCAAGCGATCGGGTTTACATTACGCCGCCGACAAAGCCAACCCAAATCTCTCAGCAAGTTAAACGTCAAGCAAGTCGACGGGGAGGCCTAACGGCGACGAGAATTGAGTTGTCGGGCTAAGCAACATAGATTGCGCATTGCGCATTCGCATCTGACGTCCGTCACCAACGTCAGCCCTATTCTATTCATGCGCCGTGACGGAAAACTCCGGTCGAGGTATCATCTTGGATCAGGGGAGCAATCGGATGAGGCGGGCGCCATTGTCAAGATCAAGGGTCACTCTAGACGAAACGAAGAAGCCCAAGAAGGCCCGACTTACGCAGACTAGCAAATAAACTCAGCGCTTGGACTGGGTTAAATTACCCACACCCCATGAACATGATCGCTTCGGTCCGTATACTCTGGAGAGCGCTGCGAAACCTGGCTTGGAGAGCGTTGGCATGAACAGCGAAAGAGAGTTGTTCGCCGTTTCGAGTCCACGCCACGGCCAAATGTTAAGCTTTGGGGCTTGGACACCGACGTAGGCCGACGAAAGACCACTAAGTAGGGCAGTGCCAATATGTGAGGTATGTAAGGACTGCATCCTCGTGAGTGTTACTACATCCACCACTCGCACATCCTGCAAGCTTCCCTTCATCCTCTTTTTGACATTTTTGGCTACCCGCCGTCCTCTCTTTCAACATGCGTTTCTCGAACGCCGCCGCTCTCTTCTCTTTGGCCTCTGTAGGCTCGGCTGCCCCAGCCGTTCATGCGCACAAGCACGCACACGCACGTGATCTAGGCTATGGTGGTGGTTATGGTGGTGGTCAGTACCAGGCTGGTATCTTCTACGTCAACTGGGCCATCTACGCGCGAAAGCACATGGTCACCGATCTCCCAGCCGACAAGCTGACCAAGGTCAACTACGGTTTCGCGAACGTGAACAACCAAACTGGCGAAGTCATCCTTACCGACGAGTGGGCTGATACTCAGTTCCCCTACCCCGGAGATGTGGCTACCAACGGTACCCAGCTGCTTGGTAACTTCAACCAGCTTTACAAGCTCAAGCAGCAGAACCGCAACCTGAAGGTCATCCTCTCAGTCGGTGGCTGGAGCTTCAGGGCGAACTTCAAGCCTGCTCTTGCCACTGCTGAGGGCAGACAGAAGTTCTGCGACAGTTCCATCCAACTGATTGCCGACTTGGGTATTGATGGCCTTGACATCGACTGGGAGTACCCAGAAGACGAGACTGATGGTGACAACTTTGTTGACACTCTCATGCGCTGCCGCCAGGTATGAATCATGTCCTCAAGATTCGAGGATTCCCAGAACTAACGCCCTGTTAGACTTTCGATGCTTACTCCGCAGTGAATGCCGCCGGCTACCACTTCGACCTTGGCGTTTCCGCCCCAGCTGGTCCCGAACGTTTCGTCGTTATGCCCATTGCCAAGATGGATCCCTACGTTGACAACTGGAACCTGATGGCCTTTGACTACCAAGGCCCCGGCTTCTCCAACTTCACTGGCCACCTCAGCAACGTGTACCCCAGCTCCACCAACCCCAAGTCCACGAACGGCTGGAACAGCAAGACAAAGTCTTTCGTCCCTTTCAACACCAAGCAGGCTATCGATTACTACAAGATGAACATTGCTTCCCCCGCCAAGATCCAGCTCGGTATGCCCCTCTACGGTCGCGGATTCGCCAACGTCGTCGATATGAGCAAGGATCAACGCGGCCTCGGCCAGAAGTTCAACGGATCTACCGCAGGAACCTGGGAGCCCGGTACGCTTGACTACAAGGTTCTGCCTGTGAACGGCAGCAAGGTGTACACCGACAAGGAGACTCTGGCCAGCTGGAGCTGGGACCCTATTGCTAAGGAGCTGGTCACCTTCGACACACCCAAGGTCGCCTCCTGGAAGGCTGACTACTTGATGGATGAGGGTCTCGGTGGTGCTTGGTGGTGGGAGTCATCTGGTGACTTCCCGGCCACCAGCGACAAGAGCATCGTTTCTACCGTTGTCAAGAAGCTCGGTGGCCCCGAAAACTTCGTCCAGAACATGAACAACTTGTACTACCCCAAGTCCAAGTACTACAACATCCGCCCATCGGCCAACTCTACTTTGAGCCTTTTCTAGATAGTTGGTTGTAAGTGTCTCTGGCGCAGTAATGCGATCAGCTAGTCCATCTCTGGGTGGGCAACTTCTTTTCTCGAGAACATTATTTTAGAACCCCTTTTACTTGCAATATTGCCGCAGGGCCTAGATGCAATATACGCACGTGATGCAAATTCACGAGAAGCTCGTTCATCGAGTTAATAGACGTTTGACTTGATCATGTTTGCCTTGTCTCCAATTTATTGACCTTGTAGTACTGTTGAAACATGTCCTACGTCGGAGGAGTCTTCGGGCTGGAGCATTGTTATTGCCGTGTAAGTCAACCTCATAGTTCGATGCACAAGAAATGGAGTTCACCGCTGTTAGAGCGCGCAGTCGAAGTCTGGTATGCAGACAGAAAGCAGTCGTGGTGATGCGTTATCCCCGCCAAACTAGCCCAGGAGGCCACGCGGAAAGGATGCGGCTGCAGTCGGACCCACTTCCAAAGTAAGACCGGCTTGTACAACCCCACCAACATGAATGCCATCATATCACGACATTCCAATCAGCTCTGGAGCCTCTGCAAGCCATCTGGAGCTAACAACATCCGGATCTGCTTGCGTGCGACACGATCGGTGAACAGCATGTCTCAGCCCGCTCGACCGCGGCGGTTCGCACCACTGGATCCCGCGAAAAAGAAGGAAGGGGACACTAGACCACTGTTAAAGGGCATCGTGTTTGATGTCGACGGCACCTTATGTAAGTGTTCTGATATCGTGCACAATTCTGTGTTCATGTACTGAATGACTTAGGTCTGCCTCAGAACTACATGTTCGCGGAGATGCGATCAGCCCTGGGTATTGAGAAGCCGACGGACATCCTGGACCACATCTATTCATTACCCGAGGGCGAGCAAGAAGAAGCACAAGAGAAGATCCGGGACATTGAGCGCACCGCAATGAAGTCGCAACAGCCGCAGGCCGGGCTCGTGGAGCTCATGGAATATCTGGATTCCCGCGGCGTCAAGAAGGGCATCTGCACACGCAACTTCGACGCACCCGTCACTCATCTTTTGACTACCTTTCTGCCAACGTCAAAATTCAGCCCTGTCGTGACGCGAGAGTTCAGACCACCCAAGCCCGACCCGGCAGGTATTCTGCACATTGCGAAGGACTGGATGCACGAAGACGGAGGAAAGAGTCTGATCATGGTCGGCGATTCGATCGACGACATGACGGCTGGTTACCGTGCGGGAGCTGCGACGGTGCTGCTAGTCAACGACGTCAACAAGCACCTTGCGGAGCATCAGCACACGGATCTCGTCGTTCAGCGGCTCGATGATCTCATCGGGATTCTTGAGAGCGGGTTCGAGGGACGCGGAGAAGCTAGCGAAGAGAAGTAGATGGAAAGGGCAGGTTGAGGATGCTGTTCGTAAAAGCTGATGTACGATACGATACGTATTAACGAAGTCTATTATCATGCGTCTCGAGACATCGTGCCCGTACAGCGCACTGCTTTGGTGGTTACTGGAGCAACTTGGTCGCAGTGGTTGGATCAGGGCTGCGTTTGCGTGCAGGCCGAGGTGAAGCACAGACCGCCCGCTTGAGCCCCACGCCCCATGTCGTTGCCTGTCAGCTGTGCCGAGCCGCCGCCAATGCCCTAAAGCTCTCACAAGCAATTTTGCGCTGCACACTATCCGAGACAGGAGCATTGAGACCATGAACAAGCCCACGCTTCCTTTGTCCCTGTATCCAGATCCTGTAAGCATGAGTCCAGGTTCGTCCTGCTACAAGGAGCACAGATCCGCGCAGCATGCATCCCTTTATTGCATACCAATAGCCGGCCGGTTCATGCATGCGGTGCGCTGATCGCCAGGCTAACTACAGCGTAAATGAGGCCGATCCGTACCGCGGAGTGCACAGCGATGGCCATCCCCACAGCTGTAGGGAGCGGAACGGACTGCTGGCTATATTGTGAGACAACCGGGAGAGGTAAAGAGGAAGGTGCTTCAGAACCATGTTACCCAAACACAGGCCGGCGTCATCAGTCATCACTCCAATCAAGAGCCGATCACGTTGATCCCTGAATCTACCTGCACCATGTACATGAAACATCTGGACACGATAGGTCACCCAGGTGACTACGTTGGGTGTCTAAATCTCCACGTCTTGGCAGCCCAGTATATGTCTGCTCTCGCCGTGGTTATCATCGCAGTTTCCAACCCATCCGTCGCTTTCGTTTGCTGCCAAGCAACCAGGGTCGAGCATACACCTCCTTCTGTCCTGCCACTTCTAGTTCTACACGATCAACGTCGCCGGCTAGCATGAGGTACACCACCGCCGCCTTCACAGGCCTATTGGCCATTTCTAGTGTCAGCGCAAGGTCAACTTCTCGTACTTCTCACATTGAGGGCAACGAAGTCGTCGAGCGTCTGAATACTGTACCTGAGGGATGGAGCGAGATCGGTGTTCCAGCGCCCGAGCGCAAGCTCCATTTCCGCATTGCAGTACGCTCAGTAAGTAATTGCGACAGCAGATCAGGAAGGCCTTTATGGTTGCAAGTTGGAGACCCGAATACTGATTATCACAGGCAAACCCAGACCTATTTGAGAGGACGCTCATGGAGGTATCAACTCCAAGCCACCCTCGCTACGGCCAGTACCTCAAGCGAGACGAATTGAAGGATCTCATCAAGCCGAGAGCCGACTCAACTGCAAGTGTGCTCAACTGGCTCGAGCAATCCGGCGTCGAGCCTCGAGACATCCAGAATGATGGCGAATGGATCAACTTTCTCGCTCCTGTGAAGCGCGCAGAGCAGATGATGGGCACCACGTTCAAGACGTACCAGAGCCAGGCGCGCTCTAGTGTCAAGAGGACCCGCTCGTTGGGCTACTCTGTCCCCGTGGAAGTTCGCAGCCATATCGATATGATCCAACCCACTACTCGCTTCGGTCAAATGCGCGCCGAAGATAGCCAAGTCCTCACACAGGAGTTCGCGCCTTTCTCGAAGCTTGCAGCTGTTAATGCCACGTGCAACACAAGGATCACGCCCGATTGCCTCGCAGACCTATACAACTTCCAGAGCTACGACGTCAGCGATCAGGCCAACGTAACGATCGGAGTGAGCGGATTCCTTGAGCAATATGCTCGTTTCAACGATCTCGACCTGTTCACACAAAGGTTTTCTCCGAGTCTCGCTGGTAAAAGCTTTGAAGTACAGTCTGTCAACGATGGACCATTTCCCCAGAACTCATCGGCCAATAGCGTCGAGGCCAACCTCGATATCCAGTACACAGCTGGCCTGGTGAACATTCCAACCACTTTTTACACTGTTCCAGGTCGAGGTCTGTTGGTTCCCGATCTTGACCAGCCCGATGAGAACGACAACAACAACGAGCCTTATTTGGATTTCTTCACTTACCTAATTGGCCTGGAGGACGAAGAGCTGCCCGAAGTACTAACGACTTCGTACGGTGAGACGGAGCAAAGCGTCCCTGCTGAGTACGCCAAGAAGGTCTGCGATATGATCGGTCAGCTCGGTACTCGTGGCGTCTCAGTCATCTTCTGTAAGTATCCCTGTAGAAGAGAAGAAAGAAAGAAAGAGAATAAGAGGGATATCTAAGCTTGGAGGGAGCAATGCCCCCAGACATCATCAGCCGCGACATGTGGGGGTATTGTCGCCTCCAAGACTAGTTCCCATGGAAGCCTTTCATACTTCTCGATACAAACCTAAGTGCTAACAATACCCAGCCAGCGGTGATACTGGTCCAGGCTCTGCTTGCCAGACCAACGACGGCAAGAACACCACCCGTCTCCAGCCAATCTTCCCCGCCTCGTGCCCCTACGTCACTTCCGTAGGTGGTACTCGCGGAGTAGAGCCTGAGCGTGCTGTTGAGTTCTCTTCGGGCGGCTTCTCTGATCTGTGGCCCCGCCCAGCGTACCAAGAGAAAGCAGTTTCCGACTATCTCGGCAAGCTCGGATCTCAATGGGAAGGCCTTTACAACCCCAATGGCCGTGGATTCCCTGATGTCGCCGCTCAGGGACTAGGTTTCCAGGTGAGTTATACCCCATGTGCGAACTGTATGTGAGACAAATACTGACTTCGTACACCCATCTCTAGGTGGTTGACAAGGGTCGATTGTCGTCCGTTGGAGGAACCAGTGCCTCAGCGCCCGTCTTCGCTTCGGTCGTTGCGCTCCTTAACAACGCTCGTATGGCGGCTGGAATGCCTTCCCTCGGATTCTTGAACCCTTGGATCTACGAGCAGGGCTACAAGGGCCTGAACGACATTGTCGATGGAGGCTCTCGTGGTTGCACTGGTCGTTCCATCTACTCTGGGCTTCCCACTGCACTTGTGCCTTACGCTTCCTGGAATGCAACGGAGGGTTGGGATCCTGTGACCGGTTATGGTACACCCGATTTCGAGCAGCTGGTTCGCCTTGTAACTGCGCCGCAGTAGGGTCGGCGCCGCGTTCGTCGTGGTGATCTATGTGAAGAGGCCTAGGCTCCGTAGCTTCCTAGCTTCTGGACTGTATAAGACTTTGTGGCATTCTTAGAGCTGACCAAGAGGCAAGCCTTACCTAGATATCTCACCAAAAACAACCTAGAAGTCTACATTACCTTCAGATTTGAGTGAACTATCGTCTTTGAACCTATTTATACTGCAGGCACCTGTTCAGTGCGTCCTTGCATGGAATGGCATCAGGTTTGAGGCTGGTGACGAACATGATTTCTGCATGCAGCGTTGTGATTCTCTACAGCCGCGGCTTCTCCGGAAGCGACCACCCACTCACTTAAGGCACGGAAGCCGCCACCCCATTCAAGGGGAAAACTAGATAACTACGTCTACAAAGGATGACTTTAGAAAACACTAATAACGCTACATCACTTTAAAATTCTACAAAAGTGCATTTCAAAACTAATGTAGGCTACAAGGCACCTGTTGGGGCTTTCACTTGAATGGTCGCACCTGGAGAAGCCGCGGCTAGCACCCCGATCAGCCACTTGAGGCGCGGAAGCCACAACCGATGGTTGCTGACACTCTCACAAACTTTGAATCCACCTCAAGCCATAGCCCTACAAACATTTTTCCAGGAGCCGTTGCTTCAGACGCTCCAGACGAGATCCAAACAGCCCGTATAGTCGATTGACAACATAGTATTCGTCACAGCGATGCGCCACAGCATCGATTTTCACGAGCTTCCCCATCTGGTTAGAGTGCACAAGACTTATCTGTGCCGAAGCATGACAAGCATCCGCCATGGTGCTTGATCCTTCGACACCTGTACGGGAGCGATTTTCTCGAAGGCGAAATTCAGCCAATAACGCAGCTCGACGATCCTCTCCATCAGTACCTGACGACGCGCACTGAGCCTACCGTGGCCCCGGATCACGGCCAGAGATAAGAGTTGGTGTCCAACAAGCCCCGAAGAGATAGTTCCCCGTCCACTATCAAGAAATACGAAGTGGGCCTGCCAGTGCTTGAAGGCAGTGGCGGCGTCTTTGGCGGGCCTTGGAGAAGCTTTGCGCCGTTAGCTTCGGTCCGCCAGTGTGGTCATATGTCTAGTCGCGTGCATTCCCCGCCTCTATCGCGGTCGTACCTGGGAAACAATACCAGCATCATGAGCACTTGCAGCAATGTCGACAATCATCGCGATGAGTTCGAGCGTCAGCTAAATCAATCTGCGAATGGGCGCGTACAAGTACATTAGGGAATAATGCGACTCACGAGCAGGCTCAAGCGTTGGAATGATTTTCGGTGTGCTTCGGGGGTAAGCAACAATATGCGACGCAACTTTACGCCTGCCTAATCAGGTAAAGAGCTAGAGCTATGTTCGCCATGAGCTATCTATGTTTGTGCAGGTACAGGAAGATGTAGGCCGCGTCGCGTGCGTGGTAGACCCGAAGTGACGTCGTTCTGGCGCTCCATGCCTTTACTTCAAGAATGCTGGGCTGCCCACTCGGTTCCCTTTTCTTCACGGCCATTGATAGTCACAGCACGAGCTTGACTAACGAACAACCCCGGCACTGCGATCGCGAAGCACGTCAAGATGCAGCTTCTTTCACTCCTCGCTGTTGGTGGCCTCACAGCAAGCGTTTCCGCACGAAGCGCTCGCTCTGTCGGCAAGAAGACGGAACTTCCTCGTCCTCGTCTGACTGTCCCCGAGACCAGTCTTCGCCCTCACAAGCGTCAGACTACTCAGATCATCACCACTGAGGCGTCCAAGGGTATGGTAAACGTTTACTCTTACGTACTACTAGCTAACAACTCTCAGCATTCGCTGTGAACGGGACTGCGGGTGCGATCCCAGATGTCGACTTTGACATTGGCGAGTCCTACGCCGGCCTTCTGCCCATCAGCGACGCCGCCAACGAGACCTCTGAACTTTACTTCTGGTTCTTCCCGTCCGAGAACCCAGACGCGGATGACGAGATCACCATTTGGCTGAACGGTATGAGCATTTACACGCCCATCTCCGAATCCATCTAATACATTTCATAGGTGGCCCAGGTTGCTCTTCTCTAGAAGGATTTCTCCAAGAGAATGGTCCCATCTCCTGGCAGTACGGCAGCGGTCCCGCAGCCGTCTACAACCCCTGGAACTGGGCTAACCTGACCAACATGGTTTGGGTTGAACAGCCCGTAGGCACTGGATTTACCCAAGGAAACGCCACCGCCACCTCCCAGGAAGAGACTGCTGAGGAGTTTCTCGGCTTCTTCAAGAACTTTGTCGACACGTTCGGTCTGCAGAACCGCAAGGTGTACATCACTGGCGAGTCGTACGCCGGACGCTACGTCCCTTACATCGCCGATGCCATGTTGAGCAAGAACGACTCCTGCTACTACGACGTCAAGGGCATTATGTTTTATGACCCCAGTGTAGCCGATGACGTCCTGCTCGAGGATATCCCAGCCGTTCCCTTCGTCGACCAATGGGCTGGTCTCTTCAACTTCAACCAGACCTTCATGGACGACATCCACAACCGCTCCGAGGCCTGTGGCTACACCGAGTACATGGAGAAGTACCTTACTTTCCCTCCTCCTGGCAAGCTCCCGTACCCCGAGAAGGACTCCAAGACCGAAGGCTGTGGGCTGTGGGAAGACATCTACAACGCCGTCTTCTACACCAACCCTTGCTTCGACGTCTACGCCATCGCCACCACTTGCCCTCTTCTCTGGGACGTTCTCGGTTTCCCCGGTTCTTTCGACTACCTCCCTCCCAACACCGAGATCTACTTCAACCGCACCGAAGTCCAGGCCGCCATCAACGCGCCCATCCAGCCCTGGGCTGAGTGCTCCAACGGCGTTCTCGACACCGACACCTCTCCCCAGTCTTCCTGGGAAGTCATCCCCCGTGTCATCGATGCCCTAGACCGCACCGTCATCGCCCACGGCGAACTCGACTACATCCTGCTCTACAACGGTACCCTCATGGCTATTCAGAACATGACTTGGGGCGGCATGCAAGGTTTCCAGAACCCACCTGTCGATGACTTCTACGTTCCTTACCACGACGACTTGAGCCTTACCAGTTTGAGCGCAAAGGGCCTCATGGGCAAGACCATCACCGAGAGGAAGTTGACGTACGTCCAGCAGGCTCTGAGTGGACACATGGTCCCGCAGTACCAGCCTAGCAGCGCGTACCGCCAGCTTGAGTTCTTGCTTGGACGTATTGAGAGCTTGACCAGCCGGGAGCCTTTCACCACGTTGCCCAAGGCCTCGCAGAGCAACGAGACTAGCATTGTTTCCAGGGATCTGGGAGCCATGGGTGGAGACTTCAAGAAGTGGTTCTAGACTTCTACTATGCGCCTTTGATGGTATAACGCAATGAATTTGATTGTATAATTTAACACATGAAGCATATGTGATGTATGCGTAGATTGATCGTTCTACTGTGATGTCGAAACAACATTAACCGGCAACGTTCTCAGCCACCCTTTGCCCATCTTTACCCAACACCCCTTCTTGTCTCTCTGCCCTCTCCTCCGGCACCTCGGCAAAGATCTTGGTAATAGCCTCAATCGTCGTATTCCCTCCACTAAAGACGACGCCAATATTCCAGCCTTTATCCCCAGCCTCCCTCTCAACCATCTTCCTAAAGTCCTCGTTGTACAGTATAGTCGCCAGACCCACAACCGCGCTCGGCTCGACAAAACACTTCATCCTTTCCAACACCAGCTTCATCGCATCTTTGATGTTCTGCTCTGTGACGGCGTAGAGACTATGCACGTAATCCTTGTTCGAAATAACACCCCATGTATGATCGCCGAGGGGTGTACGCAGACCGTCCGCGATAGTCAGGGTCTTGACGCTTGTAACGCGTTCGCCCGCTTCGATACCCCTCCTCGCGTCATCGCCGCCCTGGAAACTGGGTTCTGCGCCGAAGACGCGTACCCCAGTGCCGTGGAGAGCGACTGCGATGCCACTCAGCATGCCGCCGCCACCACAGGGCGCGATGACTGCGTCGAGCTCCTCGCCGCTTCCCAGAAGCTTGCTGACTTGATCCTGTATCTCCAGCGCCATGGTGCCCTGGCCGAGTATGATGTGGGGATGGTCGTAGGGAGGGATCAGGGTAGCGCCTGTGTCCTTGATTACGTCTGCGACGACGGCTTCGCGTTCGGTGCTCGTGGAGCCGGAAAAGTGGATGTTTGCGTCCTGGGACCGTGTGCCGGCTATCTTGGAGGGCGTGGATATAGAGGGCATGACGATGTGTGCAGGGATGGAGAAGGTTCTTGCGGCGAGCGCGAGGGCTTGCGCATGGTTTCCTGTTGACGTTAGTTCTGCCCGTCTTATATGGTCTCAAGTAGACGTACCGCTACTGTGTGTGACTACTCCCTTCCTCTGTACTTCTTCCAATCCCTCCTGTTCGATCAATCGCGTGACGGCATGGAAAGCGCCGCGTACTTTGAAGGCGCCGATGCGCTGGAAGTTTTCGCACTTGAAGAAGAGCTTTACCTTGGGCTTAGCGGGCTCTTGACCTTCCCATTGTGTTCCTCGGAGTGCTTCCGGAGCTTGAGGCTTGTTGGCCAGAGTGTTTAGGGTGGTGTTGGTCAAGACGGGTGTGTCGTGGATGTGCGGCTTGATGAGGGCGTGGGCGGCTTCGACCGAGGCGCGCGTCAGGGAGGCATGCGGGGCTGAGGAGGACATGGTTGCCATTGAAGAGAGCAATGGTGATCTGAATGCATCCTGAATAAGACTGTTCAAGATGTGAGTCAATAGAGGACCCGGGTACAATGGTGGGGAAGATAGCGCGCGGAGGAAGGTAAGGCAGACCGCGGGGGAAGCTCCGCTCGGGTCGCGCGCCTTCTGGTCCAACACGCAACGGATACATTTCCGTACCTCTCAACACCTTCTCTGTACACCTTGACACGCATGACACCACAATAGCAGCTCGCCCATGTACAGTGGTTATGTGAAATTCACTTTACCCGAAATTCGCTTTCTCAAGGCTGAGACGCCAGACAAGCACTCACCGAGTCGCTTTTACCACCCACACGTCTGCAATATTTACCGTTGGCGGTTCCAATGTTTCCATCAAACAGAACTGACATGGCATTCATGCCGGCCAGTTTCTCCCTTCAGACTGATCCGTCCACGGTCACCTCTGTTGTATACCTTATTCGACACCATGATGGGACCCACTTGCAAACCACGGTTCCATCCCTCCATTTCCCACAGTTATGTGACTTCGAATCATGCGATACTAATAAAACGAAGACATTGTCCCTTTGAATTGATCTCTCATCTGACACCCCAACAGTCTGTTACTTCTTGTATCGTAATAAAGGTCGGTACACAGCAACCACACATCCAGAAAAGATGAATAGCTAACTCGACCCCCCACTCAGACAGCTGGTTGAACTGTTCAGAGGACTGAAAATGGTCGAGGTCGATTCCCACTCATCCCACACCACTCTCCGTGCATTGGAATCACCACCCTCGACCTTACCAACGGATAACGCGCCATCGGCAGCTTCCAAAGACTTCTCAAGCCGGACCATCTCCTCAACCCAGTCTGAAGAGTTGACTTCTCCATCGACTACAAATCTGCACCTCCCTAATGAGCTCATCATCCAAATCCTCCATCACGCCCTCCATCTCCGCGGCTCATCTGTGCCACCACTACCCGTGACCGCCGATCGATTTCAGAGCCATGTATCCCGCAACGGTCGCTTGGCTAGGTATCTGGTTATATCCAAGTCACTCTATCCCCTCATTCTAGAGGCTTTCTACCGCGAGAACGAGTTTCGATGCGCCCCAAGCGGGAAAAGGCTGTATGGGTACAAGGAATGTAGACCAAGGGAAAGTCCTATCTTTCTGCCCCCGCCACATGCCAGACGCCATATTCGACGACTGGAGTTCATTATCTCTTTAGACTTCTTTCGTCACGATTTTACTTCTGCAAACCAGTGGCACACACTCGTCGGGCTTTGCTCTGGAAGGACCGGATTTACCGGAGTCGAATTCTTGCGCTTGGTGGTAAAAGAAGCTCCGGGAATACACCGTAATGACAAAATTAAGCTGAATCGACTAAGGACTGAGAAATTTGCGATAAGAGCGGAGAAAGAGGTGGTCATGGAAGGTTGGAGAGAGGCACAGCCATTTATCAAGGTGAAAGCTGAGGTCGTGAAATGGGAATAACAGTACGTCATTGACCGAAGTTAGGAGGTTCGTGATACAGCAGAGGTGGTTTGAGTTAGAGGATGTAGAATTAGTGGCTAGAGAAGTGGTACATGTAATGAAGGGGCCGCGCAAACCATGGGACTAGAGGTCTCCCTTATATTATTAGCAATCATACGGAAATTTACAAGTAAGCCAGGAGTCCTTCAACATACTATCAGATATCAATCGTACAACTAATAATTGAGCCTGAAGCCATACGTAGCATTGGAAATCATCGCATCGAAACACGCCACAGTAGCCAAGAGGTACTCGAGGTAATCGCAAGCAAGATTCACGATACAGAAAAGTATGTTAGAGGAGACAAGGGATCTTATTCTGCACGATACTATGGCAATGACCAAGCCAGGAGACGGCAACCCCCCGCAAACTACCACAAACAATGCATTCAAGTTGCCTAGTATCCACTCCTGATGGCCATCCTCAGCTCAAAGAAATGAAGCGGGCCACGAATGTTGTCACCCTCGACGGTGATCTTGGTCTCCTCCAGAGCGAACACACAGAAGCGAGCCGCAGTGTAGACGGCAACCGCCGCCTCTTCGTTGGGGTTGCCAAACTGTGGATCGATGTGAAGCTCGATGGTCTTCAGATTTTGCATGGTGTCCAGGTCGGAGAGCAGCCGCAAAGTGCGTGCGCTACGGCAGTGCTGGAAGAGCTCGGCGGTGTTGCGGAAGTACTTCCTGGTGGTGAGGGTGCGGTCGGGCAGCACAATGGGCGCTCCTGCATAGCCGTCGGTCAGGACCAGCTGCACCCGGATATGGCGGAGGGAGGGGAGGAGGTGGATAGAGGGCATGAGCGGCGCTCGGAATGATGTTCGTGAGGTGAAGTGGAAGTAGTTGTTCTCGTAGAATACTTCGAGGGCGACGGCCTGGAACTGCCGGGAGACGATGCAGAGCTTGTGGAGCATGCACTTGTGCAGCATGGCGAAGCGTGTGGCGTTGATTGGCCTGCCCCGAGGCGAGACCGTGGAGAAGATGAGGATGTTCATGAGGATCATTTTGAGGATCTCGTTGGGGAGAACAACGCTTCGACGAGGGGCGGGCGTCACCATTATGATCGTGCTTGGAGAAGACATCGTACTTTTAGCCGATGTAAGTGGAGGTGACGAGCGAGCGTGTTGTGCTTCGAGGTGTGTGAGGAGATTTGAAAGTGCTTGGAAAAAGAAGCGTGGAGGCGACTTCGTGCTGGAGAAGTGAGAAACTTCCAGGCTAGGGGAATTGAAGGGAGGCAGGGGGACGCCAGTTTATATAGACAGAGGGTGAGCCTCTAGCGTCTCCTCCAGAAGAACGTTATGCCGCTGAAGAAGAGCGAGGAAGTCTGAAGCTTCCCAATTCTGTAGGGTGGGACCATGAAGTCTGCGATGAAAAGAAGCCCCTGTCCTCTTGTATGGCTTCTGATTCGTTCCAGGGCTGTCCATTTTGTGTCCTTCACCGTGCCAGTAGCCTTCATATGTGGCTAGACGTCTTCTTAGGACTCCTATTGGCGGCAGAAAGGCTACCGAAGACATACTGCTAGTATGAATTTGACCTTGGCAGTGAAAGAACCACTGGTGTCACCTCCTTCAGCGAGGATGGAAGAAGAACGAATCGAGGATGTCTAGGACTAGATCTAAAAGGGGTAGGTGGCTTCCTTGGGTATCCGTACGAGACCGGCGAATTAAGACACTTAGACGAAGGCGTGGCTCCGTTGGTACCAAGTGAAAGAGTGAGGGCTACTATGGTCGAAGGCTGAAGAAATCGCTGAGGTAGAGGATAATTCCAAAGATGAAAAGATAACTCCCAGACGGCTGCACATGTCGATAAAGCTGTGCCATCCTGCAAGACGAGCTCAAGGAGCCTTCGATGCCTTCATTGTTGCTTTGTTTGTAGTGGAAGCGCCATGAAGCTGTCCAGAGCCAGTTATGGCGTTCGTTTCCTGGGTTATTCTTTGCGTTGCGCAGCTGGCTGTCCGCGGGGGAGCTGTTACCAAACACCGACCACCAATATCGACACCGGAATTTTAGAGCACCAGCTACGCCCCGAGTTGACGAAGCGACTGTACAGGAAGCAAGCTGTACCCATCGCATACTTCTCAGGAGACGAACCAGACGTTACCCACAGGCGTTGCTGATGCAAGCTGCCGCGCCTGCTCATCTCGAACCGCGACCGCCCTCCCTTCTCTTCTCCGCAACGGCGGCGACAACGAGTCGAACAATCTTGGACGAGATGGCAACAAGAAGACGGTTCGCACAACTTCATCGCGCATGATAGGCCAGCTCACGAGACAAGAGTGGTGACTCCATGACAAGAAAACATTTCAGCTTCGACACAGGAAGGCGTCGCAACAGGCCAACGAGAAGTAGCATGGAAAGCGGCTGCGGAAAATAACGCGACGGCAGCATGAAGACGCCACTTCAATGCCCATTGAAAAGAGATCCAGAGAGCAGGACGGGCACAGGCGATACCAGGACACCATGTAGGCGAACCAGGGCGGAGAAGAGCCACGTAAACCTGGGGGTCTATTAGTAGGTGGTCACAAAGGACGAAGTTTGGAAAATCACGTTAGAATCATGGCAATGGTATAAAAGACAACAGGTCGCAGTCAACACGCTGTGCGACAGAACACGCATCAGCGGACGCGGTAGTCGAGGTCCAGAAGGAATTGGTGTATGGCAAGCATACAAAGAAGCCCGTGGTTTGTGAGTTGTACCTCGAACATACCCCAAGATACACACTGCTACATCGCCCGCAGAGCGTATAACCTAAGGGTAAGTTTCGATATCAGGATCACGACACGTTGAAAACGAGCTTGTTCGCACTGTCGGGTGCCACAATACCGTGGGAGAGACCTGAGAATGTATCAGTTGACGTCAATGAGTGCAAAATTTCACAGATCAATAGCAAGGCAATGAGGTAAGGTGTTGGTATAGGAAAAATGGAGGTCCTATGCAGCTGGGCAACATTGAACCCTCCGCCTTGGTCTGTGCACGCTAGCATGGTCATCTCCGTCGCCGGCCATGATCGCTCCCAGTCATCTCCTGCAACCTTGTCAATTACACACCGCTTTCCATGCGCGAAATCGACAATACATTGTGATATGCTATGACCAAGAGGTCCCATGCCAACATAACCTCCTCGCAAGCAGAGCCTCCAGAGCAGCAGACATCCTACGATGGGGAGCGTTGCGGAAGCCACGAGGACGGGGACGGCTCGTCGCTTAAGAAGCCGCGATCCTTCATGGCGACCTTGGTGTGTGGTCAAGAGATAACATACACTGCTTTGCTGACTAGAGAAGGCTTGCGACATCTGCAGATCGAGGAAGACGCGTTGTGATGAAGATCGGCCAAGATGCGGCTACTGTAGGAATATGAACCTGGAGTGCACGTATCAGGCACCACGCAGTACGAAAAAAGATCAGTCATTGACTTTGGCAATCAATGCAATCCGAAGACTGGAAGCAAAGATCGAAGACCTGACAACGGCGATCAATACGCCCAAGCCGTCGTCTACATTACCACTTTCGCCGGCAGGGCCTATCAACGACCATCAATCACCCCACACCATCTTCTCACAACCGAGTCCAGGATATCACGTCTCAACGATACCCTCTCACCACTCCCATAATGGCAGGCTAAGCATACACGAGTTCGCAATGTCGCCACAAGTCGTGGGATCTCCCGCCAAAAGTCCTTTCCCAGTGATGGAAGTTCAAGGCGCCGTAAATCTTTCCTTCAGTCAACATCGTGTCGCGCTCTGGCCGGCCATACAGCAAATACTCCCTAGCGAATTTGTCTCTGTCCGAGCCGAGCTTCCGGAGGACTATATAGTCGATATTGAGAATCGGCGAGCGCAGCTGCCGATACACATCGATCGGCCCTACGGCACTGTCCCTGAGAGCTGGCTGATGAGTCTCCCGCAATCGGCGGTCAAAGGACTTGCAGACGCGTATTTTGCCGTCTTCCATCGTAACACGCCAATCCTAGACAAGTATCATTTCTTCTCAAGCACACTAGGCACGGCTATGGAAAACGAGTTCGGGTACGACGTTGAGTCTGCGCTGGTACTTAACGTGCTTGCGCTAGGCTGCTTAGCTGTCAAGGCTCACGAGGAAGGCGATTTTCCACTTCCCTCGCGCCACTCTTCAGCCAGACGTGGCTTCGTACACCCGGATTGGTACGAACTCATTGCAGATGATCCACCGGGGCTCAAATTCTTCAACGAAGCAAGGCATCGTTTCGGCTTCCTCATGTGCGATAACGACGTTCAAGCAGGTCAGTTCTACATGCTTTCGACTCTGTACTATGCTCAGATTCTCCGGCCTCTCGATTCTTGGACCACCGTGAATAGGGCGGCCCTCTGTTGCGCTAGCATTCTCACCCGCACGGGAGCGATCAACTATGACACATGGGAGGGCGATATGCTATCACGACTGTTTTGGTGTACTCTGATGTACGAAACAGTCATCACACAGGAACTGGACCTACTTCCGCATAGCGGCCTATTGGACTATGAGCCAGATACGCCTCTACCGAAGTTTACCCAATGCCCACGGCCAAAGACGTCCATATCGGGATTGCTTACCGATGAAGAAGACTCCCTTTTCAACTTTCACTTCCTCGCTCAGGCGGCCCACCGCATCATCCTGACGCGCGTGAAGCAGAGCCTGTATACCTTTGCGGAGAAAGACGGCTACCCCAGCGCCAGTCTGACAGCCGAAATGCATCACCAACTCGAGCAGTGGCGCGCAAACCTCCCACCATCCCTCCAATTCTCCGACACCGACAACGCAAGTGACTCACCCAGCCCTGCACACGTCATCGCGAAGGCCATGCTGCGAAGCCGCTACCTCGTCGCAAAGTTCCATATCGGCCGTCCGTTCCTCTACAAAGCGCTGCATGCACCAGCGTACACCAGTGATGCAGAGTACAACGAGGTGCGCGAGGGTCTTCGCGGTGGCATGTACTGGCCAACTACCATGGGTCTTTGCACGCAAATGTTGTCAGCTCTACCAATCAAGTTTGGATGGTGTTGTCAGTGCTTTGGGCAGGTGCTATTGTTTCACGCCGTAGCGCAGTCGCCAGACCCAAGATTACGAGGAACGCTGCCGGAAGGATGGCACGAATGGGTAGGTATCATGATGACCCTGATCGAGAGTTGTGCGAGAAGCAGTCCTGGTATTGCAAGGGACTACGAGCTATTGCGCTTGTTGGACGCCTAGCGCCCGAAGTGTGGTCTGAAGACACTCGCGAAACTCTACAGATTGCTGCTGTAACGTCAGTGTAGTCCGTAGGTATACAGCCAACATAGTCAAATTCACAACGAGTTCGCATGAGACCCTGCGTCACGCTGCCAGACGTAACACGGTACCACAGATACTCGACCCAGGCTTTCGTCGGCCGTCGCTGTCGCATTGGGGTACTCAATGCACGACTAATTCTGTGTTTCAGCAAAAATCAATTGCGAGAAGGACGAGACGAAGGAAGACACGATGAGCCTTGCTTGTGGTTTCCAGGATGCTCATGTCTTATGTTCCGACTGATGCTGATGTTTCAGCACCGCCGCACCCTCGTCGATCCTGCCATCTACAGCCGAGTACGAGAGGCTTGCGTGTACAAAGTGGCTACTAAGCTGACTATCGTAAAGGCGCATGCGGCACCGGCTCGTTGGTCTAGCCTAGTGCAAGACACATTGCGCACAAGAACCAAGTTGTAAATACATAGCATTCCCCATCTTTGCATCTCAAATACCCTCATCGCAATCCCACACGCGTCGACGGGTGGAATCGCACAGCCACAGGTCGCGCATCCCAGATCTCGGCGTTTCAGCCTTCCAGTCCTCTCCCGGCGCGGCAGCTAAGCCCAATCAGACGGTAGTGGCCCCTGCATTGCTTAGGGATGGAAGCAAGGATCTACCGACTGACACAACTGCCACTAAACTGGGGGCGTGTCGGCCGCCTCCTTTGAGGCAGAGGGACACTTTGCTTGTCATCCTGCCTTTCTTACCACTCCTTTTTGGCACCCGGCGCAGCGCTTCTTCGGTTCCCGCATACATTGTCATCTTTTGCGTGCACCACCTTCTTTCCGTGGTGTGCACTACGCGACGCACGCTTCATTGTTGAGATTCGGCATCTGGGGAGATTATTGGATTGGACTGGACCGGACTGGATTTGGATGCAAAAGAGCGACGGTCTGGATACTCGACTTCCACGCACAGGCGAACTGGATCGCATCATAGGCCTCTGAACCCCAGAGGGCGAACCGCGACCATGGCCGACTACTCATACCAATCGCTGGCCAACATGGGGCCACAAGGGAGATGGCGGCGTGTGTTGTTGATTGCCATAATACCCATGGCATTGGCTCTGATTTACTTCAGCTCTCCCTCATACGTACCGAGCAGCCTTCGGTCACAGTACGTGTCGCGATTCTTGATTATTAGCAACAATTGACGAGGCGCAGATTCCCGCATACGCAAAATATTTCCCTCCCCAAAGACGACATTTCGATGGCGACGATAATAAAAGCACTCTACGGCCCGATATTACATCCGATCGATGCTGCGAACTTTACCGACGAGGACGGAGATATATACAGACTAGCAGGGGAACCGAAATTCAAGAGCAAGTTGGGCAAAAAGGTGCTTATACTGGATATCGACAGTCGGCCGTTGACGGAAAAGGGCCAGCTCATGGACCCGCAATTGAAGTGGAAGGGCATGCGCTCGTTGAGTGCGGGTATGCTCGGACATTACATGTTTGGTACGTTTCCGACCATACAAGGGCGACACACGAATGGCCCTTCGGCACGTGGAGTGGACAACGAGCGACTCGGCTAACATCTTACAGCGCAAATACACGGCTACGATTACAAGTTCATCCGCGCACCCGATTACGCCGACCGGTGGGGCACCTGGGTCAAGGTCCCCATGATGAAGGAGGCGCTCAAGACCCACGAATACATCGTCTTCATGGACTCGGATGTCATGTTCCACTACCCCCATCTGCCTCTGGAATGGCTGCTCAACTACTGGAACATGACCGACGATACTCTCGCCATGATGTCCATTGACCCGAACGAACCGCAGAACTACGATGCGAAGGGCAACCGATACTTGAACACTGGTTTCGTGATCGCACGACAGAGCAAGAGGACACAGGAGATGTACAAGGCCTGGGCGGAATGCCCTTCTGAGACCAAGTACAAGGGCTGCGCGCACTGGAAGACAGACTGGGCACACGAACAGGCTGCTTTTGGAAACTACCTGCGCTACGACTACGACCGACCAGACGATATCCGCGTTCTGCCCTGCGTCGAAGCCAACGGTGCACCCGAGGCAGCGAACCGAGGCGGTTGCAAGGGTGTCTTTGTACGACATTTCTGGGTTGATAAGGGACTGGTGGCCAAGAACCTGGCGGATAGCGTCATGCAGTACTTCCTACCGCGATTACACGAGGCGTACCTGGGCTCAGCGAGCGAGCACATTGTAGACGCAAAGGGCTTCAAGCTCGAGGGCGCGGAGCTCATTGAGATGACCGAAGAGGAGAAGGCAGCGGCCAAGAAAGGACAGGGCAAGAACCAGAAAGATGAAGGGTGGTAGGACGACTCTGAATTTCGCAACGGCCTTTGACCCTCACCTCGCGCACGCGCATCGCGGTCTTTTTCACCAATCTTGCGCCATCTATCGCACGACCTTTCTATAACCATCATATACGCCGCTGCTGTCTCATGGCAGTATCTTTCTGTCGGCGTCTACAGGCGTCTCACATCTTATCGTCACGTGTTTGCACAGCGATTTTTCAAGCATGTTACATCATTATATTAGACTTGGGTGAGATGGGCATCAAAGACGGCTTTCCTTGATCATGTATGAGAATTCTGAGGCAAGAATAGCCTCTTGGAATACCACCTCTTTTCACGTTGTTGATTGCTTCAAGCAGATCTATTGGTGATGCGCAGGTACGTGAACGCCTGCTATTCTCTAATTCGCACTGTAGATACCTTGTCGCCCAATCCGGCTTGAAAGCTTTCAAATGTTGCTTATATTGAACGGGTGGCTCCTTCCTCCTCGGTGCAATGGCGCGCACGACAACCCCGGGAACCCCAAAAGCTGAGACGATACTTGTGGCCGTGATTGAGTTGAAAGACTTCATTAACGAAAGGTGACTGGCTGGGAAGAAGCAGACGTTTCTTTCCTCGATACAGATTTCGAGAATATTGTTGTTGTAGTATGCGATCCGGGCCAGTCGGTACAGCTCCTTATTCCGCACCGCGTTGAGAGGTTCCATATGTTTGCGGAAGATGAAAATGTAGCTACTATCTGGCACGGGGCGTTCAGAGATGTTACTAATGATGAAGTATAGGACATGCATTTTCAGCTCCTCAGGAAGGCGTTGCCAGTGGCCGAACGATGGAGACACTGTTACTGTTGTGACGAGGTCTTGATCTTACTGCGTCATTATTTGCACATGACGATGTTGAAACTGATTATAGCTCAAGGTCACTGAGCATATCTTAGATGAGCAAACTTCTTGTTATGATATATGTCAACAAGGCAAACACTCTGCCGGAATAGCATCTCCCAGTAATTCCAGGTATCCGCTCAAACTTCATGCTCAATGTCAGCGACCCTTGGCACCCTATGTAGCCGCAAGCCACAGAAGCTGGCGACAAGCTCGATCTATGCCCAGTCAGTATACACTACAGGACATAGGCTGGCAGCTGTCTTACGCATTGCTGGATCGTCTCAACATCTTCCCTACTAACGCCAATGCGCCTTGTTCCGCGCAAATGCCAGGCGGTCTCTCTGGGCAGATTCTGAATCATGATGCCGCTGAGTACAGTGAGCTCAGTCTCGACGTCGTTGAGGATGCTGTGGTCAGATAGATAGAGGCCGTAGGTGATCTGCTTGCTCGTCCAATCTATACTGCGTTAGCTCAGGATCAGGAAGCGGCCAGGGGCTACGTGCCGAAATCCTTCTGTGATGCCAACACATTATCGATGCCCTCCTGGTTGTGTTGGTACAGGCGACCTTGCCATGCTGCACCGCGTTTCGAGTTTGCTTCGTCACACTGCCATCCCTCTCTGCTTGTTGTCAGCTTCCGCAATCGCCCGCTAACGACGCAAGACTCCATACCTGGAGAATGTATAATCCTTGTCCTCTGGCCTCGTAATGGCATCGATATCGAAGATGGCTTCCAGCGGCTTGCATACGCCCACAATGACGATGAGCTTGAACAGCGTCTCTCGTATCCTTCGCATCAATGCCTGGCGCTGTTCAGGTGTTTGGTATTCAGGTCGCTTGATGAGTTCCTTGTAGAGCAGAGGCGCGAAGCCCGGCTGCCCGCCACCTACCATCGCCGCGAGCTACAATGGCTTAGTCAGTGTTCACACATGTATATGCAAGACATGCCATACCAGAAGAACATACCACTTGTCATCTCCAAGTGACTGCGATGGAAACTTCTCCTCTATAGCCTTGAACAAGGCTAGAGCTTCGTCATCGTTTGGGTCGCGTGGGATCGGGATAGTACTGGTTGACATGATGTTGCTTATCCTATCAAGGAGGAAGTCGAAGTAGCAGAGCAATATTGCGCCTTGCGGAATGGTTGCTGACTGTCGTCATTGGGTGTTCCGATGGTCGGGATGGACAAGTAGGACCGATCGCGACTGCGACGCGTCTTCGGAGGGGCGCGTCGCGCTAAAGCGGGGTAAACCTCCACCCATCACCACGCTCCACGGGGAGATGCGTCTTTCCCCGGAGGCAGCTTTTTCTTTCAAGCCACCCACATACACGCGAGAACGAGGCTGTAATATGCGAATATCAAACTGGGGTGGTATGCTCGTTTTGGATAAAACATGAACACAAGCGCTTCGTGCTATCACCTTCCTAACAACAGGCCCAAGACTGTCGTAATCACAGGCGGCGCAAACGGCATCGGCGCCAAAACAGCCCGTACCTACCATGGCCATGGCTGCAATATCATCATAGCTGATCTCCCTTCCTCAAGTGACGCTGCCGATGCCCTCATCGCGTCTCTCACAGAGCCATCACGGGCCCGGTATTACCGCACCAACGTCACAAGTTGGCACGATATACAAGCTCTCTTTCGAGAGACGAAAAAGACGTTCGGTCAAATCGATATCGTTGTTGCGAATGCAGGGACGATGGAGAGTAAGGGTTTCTTTGACTTCGAAGAGGACGAACATGGGGAGTTAATGGAGGCAACTGAAGCTGGCAGGATCATTGATGTTAATTTGAAGGGCACTATGAACAGTGAGTTAAAGTTTCTCACTGAGTTTCTACTGGTCTATTTTCTAACATTGGATAGCACTTCGAATGGCTATGCACTCCATGAAGTCAAACCCACCGGACTCGGACGGTGCACGAGGCTCTATTGTACTCATCGCCTCAACGTCCGGATACTTTGGCGGGACTGGAGTAGTCTCATACATCTCTTCCAAGCATGGCGTAGTGGGCTTGTCACGAGCCTCACAATCCGTTGCCCGACAGCTAGGCGTCCGAGTCAATGTCGTTGCACCCTTCTTTACCCCTACGCATATTACCTCGGGATACGCTGAGAAGTGGAAAGAGCGCGGCCTACCAGCGAACACAAGCGAGGACGTCGCTAATGCCATCGTGTCTACAAGTGTGGACTCTGCAAGACAGGGTCACAGTATGATGGTGAGTTGTGATGACTCGATTTGTAGCTAAGAAGTAGTGCTGATCAATTCACAGGTTGCAGGCAACCTGGTAAGAGAGATTGAAGAGCCAAGAACGGCATCAACGAGAGATTGGCTCGGAGAAGAGATATCTGAAATCATGACGAAAGGTGGCAAGTTTTTCAACGATCTGGGCGGTTACACGCTGCCGCAAGCACGATCTTGAGAGCTCTTGCGGGCTTGTTTCATAGCCCATGAGCCAGACAGGGAATACGTGGCTGCGTGGCTGCGTGGCCAGCGAGAGATAGGTTTCTCAGGCCCGGTGCACGCTGTAGCTCCAACTTAAGGCGCACTTCAGTCAAGCTTATAACCAAGTAAATGAGAGAGCCAAAGATAATTTTTGTACCAAAGTCGGAAGTGAGGCAATATCGTGTTTTCCTTGGTATACCTACTTACTGCCCTCGGTAAGCAGCTGCTAAGCTTGATGGAATCTATACCAACTCATTGGGTTCGTGATGAGAGTCACTGAATTGTCTAGCACAGGAACGCTCAAGTGATCTATAACGACTTTGAATAGCTCTAGTTAGATGTTTGATACCTCATATCTGGTTTCATGCTCCATAGCCCTGCAGCCAAACTATCGAAGTGTCGTCACCCGCATCACTCCAGGAATCGCCCCATTCAGTAGCAACAACAAGTAGTCTGGCTGACCAGTACCATTAACTTGATCTCGTCAGGTAGAGCGAGGAGAGAGGGGCGTGAAGTGGTAGCCTTGGTCATTGCCTCGGTCGGTAGTGTGACGAGACTGGAGCGCTGGGCTTTGATGTCTGCTCGCTCCATATCATCGGCGTATGGCTCATTGGTACTTAGCAATTCGAGATTAGATTAGATGATTCCGCTAGTCATTGGCGAAGAAAAGAAGAAACGCACGGAGTAGCCAGTCTCTTATTAAGGGCGGCTGAGGAGCGTGTAAATAGCAGTGATACTGAAGAGTACATTGCCGAATCAATTTGGCGGATCGTAGCTGCACAGTGGTTTAGGCTCCCGTGCTGACCATTACTTACTAGCTTATAGCACCTGAACAAAGAGACACTGAGGCAGACGTTCATCTAAAACAGTTCTAGCGTAGCAGTGAATGCGATGCGCGACCAATACCGCCTAGGCCGTTGCTGCGAATGTCTTTGACCCGTGATGGTGCGATAATTTTACGGATGTATGGTCGCCTTTGATCGCGTCGGTTATGTCGCGGAATTTGCGCTTTGAATGACCGAACTGCCATTGGGCGATGTGTAGGAGTAATAGACTTCACGAGGCGATCACAGGGTTCATTTTCGTCTTAGTAATCCTCGAGCGAGCTTTGGCCGGTGACGTTTTCTACAACCCTCGGCAACACCCACCCTCTACATTCTGTCCAAACACCAATTGAAGCCTCACGACAGACCATCTGCACCATGGCGTCCTCAAGATTAGTTGCTCGCTCATCGCGCGCTCTCCTCTCCCTCCCGCGCACCCAATGCCGCACGTTCAGCATCTCCACTATCCGTAGCAATGAGTTTGAAGCTCTCAACAAGCGCACAAACGACACTTCCGAGACGTACCGCAAATACCAGATCGAGAGACCTTTGAACCCTCACCTGACCAACACCACATCTACCATTGCCAACGAGATGCCTTCAATTGGCAACGACGCAGCCCCGCCCGAGTTGATCACCAACGCCGACGCCAAATTTACACCTAAAGATTCTGTGCCTGAAAATACCGAGCGCATGACAGGCGGTACACAGGGCAGCAAGGACCAAGACGTCAGCGGAGCGAACAGCGAATTGGGTGTTGGCGAGATGGAGGGCGCCAAGTTCAAGGTCGAACCTATCCGCAGGACTGGCGAGGACGCGAACACCATGCGTGCGAGGTTATTATGTCCGTTCCTACACTGCCCATTCCCTATTCCCTATGAGATACACGGTTTGGTCACCAGGACGAAACATGGCTAACGAACAATCAGATCAGAGCCGCAAGAGGGGAACCCTAGAAAGTGATCTCCTCCTCAGCACCTTCGCCGACGCTCACCTAAGCACCATGTCTCCTTCTCTGATGCAGCAATACGACACCTTCCTCGACGAGAACGACTGGGATATTTACTACTGGGCGACTCAAGAACCCACACCTACGTCTCGCGAGACAGCCGAGGGCGGTGGCGCTGCAATGTCTAACCCCAATGCACAGGGTATGGACGCGACGGCACAGACGAAGCTGCCTGAGAAGGACGAGCGCAAGAGACAACCTGGCGAGGGCGAATGGGCGCAGACTGTTGGAACTTTCAAGCCTGCGTATAGACCCGTGCCTAGCAGGTGGAAGGGCAGCGAGATCCTCAGCTTGCTCCGGAAGCACGTCAATGAGCGCAAAGCAGGAGGTGTCATCGAAGGCGAGGGCACAACAAAACAGGAAGGAAAGGGTCTTGGTATGATGCCTGAGATCAAGAACTTCGACCAGTAAACCAGAAATCGCGCCTTTGTCACCACATCCTGTAGGTTTGCTGTATAAATAATGCCCATAACTGCCCCTCTTCTTTCTCTCCTGCATTTGCTTGGTCTGTTTCACCCACAGGCCGTTCGCGCATTTCTTCCGAGACCCTTGTCACTGCGTGCTACTCCTCAGTATGAACACACTCACCCAGACAAAACACCATCTCTGGGACCTCATCCTAACATAACAAGCCCAGTCAGGCACTCATAAGCTACTTGTTCCGGAACTCATTCCTCCGCCCACTCCCACGTGTTCCGCGGCATACCAGGCTAGATTTCCACCGGAGCTTTACCCCGGTCCAACTTCCCCACACGGCAAAGCTCACCTCGGTAGTTCATATGTTTCGAAACTGCGCTTTGTATACTATCCCCAGCTGTTATTGGAGGAAGTACTGTTGTTCATGCATTTTGTTTAGTGTTCTGGTGTCACGCTCGAATGCACCCGACTAACGGTGTAAATTGGAGGGGATGCGTTGCCACATGTAGAGATTTGTCCGTACTTTTAAAACGTGGTTGATCAGTAACAGGTTATGTGATGTTCTATGGTATATAGCTGCTGTATCCTTGGAAAGGTAAGGGGCATCTATCTTGGTATCGATCACACTCCCTCACAATGCGGTTCACATCCCTCCTCCTCTTCGCCAGCACGGCACTTGCAGCGCTCCCCTACAAAGGCGCAGACTGGTCCTCCCTCCTCATCGAAGAAGCAGCCGGTAAAAAGTACAAAAACGCTGCCGGCACTGTCCAACCCCTTGAAACCATCCTCAAGAACAGCGGCGTAAACACCGTGCGCCAACGAATCTGGGTGAACCCGTCCGACGGAAACTACAACCTAGACTACAACATCAAACTCGCGAAGCGCGCCAAAGCAGCCGGTCTAGGCATCTATCTCGACTTCCACTACAGCGACAACTGGGCGGACCCAGGCAAACAAGTCGTGCCCGCAGCGTGGAAATCGCTGAATCGCGAGGCCCTCGTCAAGCAAGTCTACGACTACACAAAGAACGCACTCAACACCTTCGCTACCAACGGCATCGCCCTCAACCTCGTCAGCATTGGCAATGAAATCACGCCCGGCCTCTTGTTCCCCATCGGCCAACTCTCCGGCACCGATGGGCCGAAGAACGTCGCCGCTCTGCTCAAATCCGCATCCAAAGCTATCAAAGAATCCAACATGAGCCCCAAACCCAAGATCATGATTCATCTAGACAACGGCTGGAAATGGGATACGCAACAGTGGTGGTACGACACCGTGCTGGGCTCAGGTGGCGGGCTATCGGCTGCAGACTACGATGTCCAGGGCGTGTCTTACTATCCATTTTACAACAGCGCTGCTACGCTGTCTGCGCTCAGCACGAGCTTGAATAATATGGCGAAGAAGTACGGTAAGGAGGTTATGGTTGTGGAGACCAACTGGCCGAGTTATTGCCCCAACCCGTCAAACGCTTTCCCTGCGGACGTGAAGAGTATTCCAATTAGTGTGGATGGGCAGACGCAGTGGATGAAAGAGGTTGCGAAGCGTGTGGCTGCTGTACCGAATGGCAAGGGTACTGGGTTGTTTTACTGGGAGCCGGCTTGGATCGCGAACCCTGGGCTGGGCAGCAGCTGTGGGTGGAATTTGATGGTTGGTGACGATGGCAAGGTCATGAGTAGCTTGGCTGTGTTTGGTAGCATCTGAGCGACATGGTCCTCCCTTCAAAGCTGTAAATATTGCGTACGTTGGCACTCCAAAGACACTATGTTTGGGACGTTATGACGGCCCCCACCTGCACGTGCATATGACATCAGCCCACCTGTGAATGTAAATGTACATACAATACGTAAACTCAAAAGACGCAGTGGAGATGGTAGTGACGAGGTCAGAACATAGTTCATGGTCGGAGCCATCTTTGATGTTTGGGTGGTTTCATTGAGTACATAGCAGTAAAGCAGTGCAGACTCCTTTCCCTCCCTTGTCAAAAAAGCAGCCCAGTCCATTCCGAATGTGCAAAGGAAGATGTGTCAGGGTTCGTCATGGCATCATATCCTTCCGCTAAATGCCTTTTCGTAACCTCATTGCGCCCGTAGCAAAGTATCAACCTACTGCTCCTCAGAGTAGCCCTCACCAGCAGCTGGCTGGGCCTCGCCCTCGCCCTGCTCTGCCTGCCTGGCCTGCTCCGCAGCTTGCTGAGCAGCAATGGCCTTGGCACCGTAGTCTTGCGACATGGGCTGGACAACGGGCTGCTCTTCCTTGGGCTCGATGATGGTAACAGAGTCGGGAAGAGTCTTGGATGGGCCGGCCTTGCCCTCGGGGTCGGAGCCGCGCATGATCTTAACCTTGATACCGAGCACACCCTGGCGGAGCAGGACGTGGCGAGTGGCGTGGTCGATGAAGTCCTTGGCAGGCTGACCGGAGTGGATCATGAAACCGTCCTAGATAACGTCAGTATGCCATTGCGATGCGCCGAACGTGTGTATACATACGGTGAACTTCATGCTCTTGGCACGGGCGGCCCTGAGCTTTCCGGAGACAACGACCTCGCAACCCTTGGCGCCAGACTCCATGATGAACCTCAGCACACCGTAGCAAGCCCTTCGGACGGCCAAACCATTGAGAAGCTTGTATCGGAGGGACTCGCACTGGGCGACGGCGGAGAGACCACGGTTCTGGACCTTGGCGGCGTAGAGGGAGACGGAGTTCTCGGGGAACTTGAAGCGCTTCTGGATGAGCGAGGTGAGCTCACGGATGCGGCGACCCTGCTCTCCGAGAACCTCCTGGGTGTGTGTGGCGCGGATGATGATATCGGTGACGGTGGGGGTGACGCGGACCTCGACGCCGGAGTAGCCCTCCTCGGCCAGCTCGCGCTGGAAGAACTCGTTCAGCTCGGCGTAGAAAACACCGTCTGTGAGGGGTCATGTTAGCGACCGTTCTGTGTGCGCAATGTCCCGCAATTCTCGCATTCAACATCCTGAATTCCGCAGGCTCTTTGCCACGCAGCAACGCCATTGATCGCCGTATCCTTCTATTCTCCGTCTACTGCTTGTGGGAAGGGTATATCGTACCAGCTACGAACTTTCTCCTCTTGGAGCTGCAGGCCGTCAGTACTCATTCCAGTTGCGCGTCTTGGAGGCGTCCGGATAAACTCACATGGTGGTTTGAGTGGTGGCCATTTTGTCGAACTTTGGAAGGGCGTATCTGAACTCCGGGCGTGGGTGTTCAGAAAAGTCGAGCCGTTGTTGAAGTCGTAGTTGATGGACTTGGGAATCACAATATTAAGCGAGTGGTGTGGACTGGAGCTCGGACCACCTCCACCACCGACACTGATTAGACAGCCCCTCCTCCTACCACCACGTTCAAGGGTGAACACGGCGAAGCCTACATTGTCTATTTCGCATTCATTCATCATGTAAACTGCAGTGTAATTTTTATGTTTCTTCCTTGTAGGAGACAGTGCTGATAGAGTCTTACGGTCATGAAATGTCAAAGCACGTAGCTCAGGTAGGTCTGATGCAAAAGATGATGTTTGATGCCCGCGTACAGGAGCTTGCATGCGCCAACCAACGCCAATATCATGCTCAATATATACAGTATTCCTCAACCACCTTGTTGCCATTTCTCTCGACAGGCTAAAGATGCTCGATCGGACCCTCAGGTAGCAGAGGCTCAGCCTTCCTCTCAACACACGCCTTTAGCGGTGGGCGAATGAGGTCGTTGAACAAGAACGTGCCGTACACCAACAAAGCGAAACCCGCAACCTGGAGCCACTTGAATGTCTCCCAGCCAAGGCCAAGCGACACAATCCAGATGAAGAGGGTGCGGCAAGTATCGATGGTCGACCGCGAAGTAGCCGAGACGGTGCGAGTCACGGATAGACCGAAGAAGTTGAAGCCACTGTGGCGTGTTAGTAAGGGATAGAGTTGAGAGAGGAGGCTGGAAGACGTACCCAATGCTGATCATAATCAGCACCGAGGATACTGCGATAGCGCGGTAGTGCGTCATCTGGTACAATCCCTCTCTCGCGTTGAAGTATCCAGTCCCGATTGCGAAGTGTAGGACGATCATACCAATGAGCGTTACCAAGAAGCCGAACACACCTTCCCAGCCGACAACCTTGATCGGCTCCATGGCGTACTTCTCCATAATCCTCTCTTCAAGCACGAACTGCGTCGCGGTGAATATCTGCGCACCAGCAATGAGTAGTACACCAATGATGGTCTTGGCAGCTTGAGTAGTGGCAGCTTGCGCACCAACAGAGCCAGTAGCCTCATCGTGAATGGATTGGTGACCGGGCGATGCTTTGTCGTCTTTGGTGATAGCTCCAGCGAGACCGACAACCGCAACACCAGTGACGACAACAAAGAGCGAAAACCACTTGTAGAGCCCAAGATGGCGCTTGAGGAACCAGACGCTGAACAGACCGACGAAGAGCACCAGTGCGCCTCTAGTCATCTGGTAGATACTGGCTGCGACAAATAGCAGACCAACGTTCATGAGTGTTGTTCCGGCAATGTCGCAGCATGCTGGGAGCGCCAACAAGAAGATGCTACGTCCCTCGAGTGGTATCCTACCTTCATCATCGGGATGCGCAGGCTTCAGCGGGTTGGCAACAGCGCCGGTCTCGCTATCATCCGAGCCTGGTGTAGCAGCGCCGTCGTTATCCGGAATGGCCTCGTAGCCTGCCTTCGCGCTCGCATACCGCTGGTAGAGGGTGAATATGCCGATGACGAGCCAGCAGCCCATCTCACCCACGAACATCTGGAGGGTCTGGAGTACGGGCTGTTCGAAGGGCTGGCGGTATTCCGGCGAGGGGGAGTCGCAGTTGTCGACGCATTGCATGTCCTGATCGCGCGCAGTCAGTACCAGACTTCGAGGCGGCTGTGTGAGAAAGTTCACATACTTGGTACTTGGTTAACAGTGTGTTACACACACCTGTCAGCAGCATCATGGCCACCAGGAATGGCACTGCAGCTTTGACCGCCATGGTGGTGATGAGTCGAGCTCCCGGAGCTCAGCGACGCTTATCGCACGCGGTGTCGCAAGTGATGGGTTGTAGGCAAAGAAGTGTCCAGATGGAACTCAAGAGAGAGACGGAGGTAGAACAGAGTATAGATAGATGCAGCGACAGCAAGGTACTAGGCAGCTCTGAGCTGCGACCCGTGATGACTGGTGTCGAGTGAGGCGCGTGAGGCTATGTGACGGGTGATGTAGCAGCTGCGCTGCCTCGGCGATAAGAGATGGCGCTAACGCCTGGCCGCCGCGTTCTCGACGATCCCTGGACGGAAACATCCTTGCAGCTGCGTCTTGCAACTTGCACCTCATACAAGAAAAAAGCTAAACTGAACTGGTCTGGAGCCTACATCGACATTGAGTCACCTACTTTGCATGTTTCCATGTTGATGTAGGCTCCAGGCTGGTTCGAGTCCGCGTTGATCCTCCCAACCTGTTTCACACTGGTTCGGATGATGGCGACGCGTGACCATGTCAGTCACGCCCGTGCCTGAGGAGCTTATCCGCTATTGGATCAATGCGCGGCTCGCGTGTGTTCCTTTTTGAAGACGCAAACATGGATTCAAAGGGTATCTAAATCTATCCAAAAGCTCGCGCTTATTGCGAAAATGACGAAGTCGTCGTGTTCGGCTCAAAAGAAGGACGCCTTTTCAGCCGCCTGAACTTCATGCCAGCCCTACAAGAACCACCTAAACTCTGGGTTCTTAGGTCCATCTCTCAGCTTTTCGGTCGACACATCCCTAGCAGTGTGGTTGACGCCCTGCTTCGCGTTCCTCCTTTTATTGTCTACAACCATATAAGCACCTAGCAGTGCGGCACACAAACATCCAGTCGCGCCAAAAGCCGCAGTGGTGGCCAGCGCGGGAATGTACTCGGGCGCATCCTGTGGCCTAAAGATGTTGGAGCTGACCACACCCATCAAGTTCGCCAGCGGCACACCAACGGAAGTAAGAGTGACACGTCGATTCTCATCGGCGACATTGTTGTTGTACCATGTTGAGAGGAGGACAGAAGGTGCGGATGTCCCCCATGTCATCATGAAGCAGGCGAAGTATGCGACGGTGAGGGAGTGCTCCACGTCGATGGTGGCATAGATGATGAAACCAATGAACGTGAGCAGGAAGCCGAGGGCGATGAAAGGGAAGCGGAGACGTGTGTGATCAGAGGCAAAGGCCAAGATGAGAAGTACAATAGCTCCGACGATGTTGGGCGCAACCGTGTAGAGGTTCGTCTTAATCTTGTCGTAGCCAAGTCGCGCCACAATTTGTGGCAGGAAAAGTGACACGGACTGGAGTGGTACACCCAGACAAACCTCAATAGCGAGGAAGCCATAGGTCGAGGTCTCCTTGAAGATCCCAAGCGCGTCCTTTAGATCAAACTTTTGGTCGACCACTGATGAGGAGTCAATCTGGATACGGGTAAACGCGAGCTGCTTTTCCGATTCGTTGAGGAACTTGGCTTCGAATGAGTTCTTGGGGAGGTACCAGTAGGCGAAGAATGAGAAGCAGACTGTAAGTGCTCCCTCAATGATGAACAGATAACGCCACGAGTCGAGCTTCGATTCGATCTGGAATACACCAAAAGCAAGAAGCCCCGAGAATGCGTTCGCGATGTTAGAGGCGGCATAGAACAAGGCCAATCTTCTTGCAAGCTCGCCTCGGCGGTAGAAGGTAGTCAAGTAGTAGATGACAAGCGGGAAGAAGGCGGATTCAGCCATACCTGTATAATGTTAGTCATGTAACTAACCGAGATTTCGATTCAGAGACTCACCCAAGAACCATCTCAAAGCCATCATCCCACTCCAGTTCTGTACACTAGAAGCAAGCAGGGTTGCGCTACCGAAACAAAACATCATGATCGGCAGCACGCGATGCGGGCCATATTTCTTTCCCAGCATACCAATCGGCGGCGCAAAAATAACGTACGGTACGTAGAAGATACTCAGCATGATGTTGTACTGATTTCCAACGAAGCCAAGGTCCTTGTCCATGTTGTCCGTCTTTGCGTTGCCCAAGTTGCCCTTGTCGAGCGCGTTGAAGAGGTACATGACTGCCAGCATAGGCAGTATCCGGAGGTCAAACTTCCATGTTAGGGCCTTCTCATGTTCATAAGTGGGTAGGTGTTCGGTCGTGCCTTCGACTGGGACGGGCGCATTGGCATCTTTGGAGGAAGAGAGAGATGCCGTGACCTCAAGGCCATCCTTCGCAAGCTCGGGATCTTTGTTCGTCGACATACTGACAAGCCGAGATTCGAGGAAGCGTTGAGATATCGTTGATGCTTGACCAAGTCCTAGCTTGGAGCGACGCGATCGAGCTGCGCTTCTTGGGCTGTCGTGAAGGAAGGTGCAATGCAACTCAACGTCGAACGAACCAACTGCGTCCACAAACTTAAGTACGATCACCGCCAGCTAGCCTCTCCGATTATAAAATCTGCAAGAAATGCACCCATCCCGTGGAGTTACATGCGGCCTGAGGCCAAGCGCTGACGCAGCCGTTTATCCAGGCGTCGCACGGTGGTAGCGAGTGCAAGGTAACATTTCTCCGCTGTCTATCTCACGTCGCGCATGGTCCTCCTGATAAACTCCCTGCTCTTTCTGACCAATACCGATTATTTCGCCTCGTGTCGGGGCATATGCCCGGGGTTTGAGTGGTTCGGCAGCGATGCCTGTATGGAGGGATCAGCATGGAGGATTGGAGGGGTTCATCCGAGATACCAGATACGGCATGATAAGAAAAGGCCCGTCACCATGCGGTATCGGAAGGATGCGCGAAAGTTGAATTTGACATCAAACATGCGATAATATATCGGTGTACCTCTCGTATTAAGCTTTTCCGTACATGTAGGATTATCATGACGTCGGGTAATGGTTTTGTCGTGTTTTCGTCTGCTGCTAGCACCAGCGGAGTTGAAGTGAACTTTGGGATCGTTCCCCGCAATTAGCTGTGGTCTGTCATCCCCACTTCTATTTGAGCACAAGCGATCATGTTTCCCATAATATGGTTGATGTCATAGCGTACTCAGAAGGTACTTGCTGTTTCTATGAACATGTAAGATGTCTATCTTATTCGGTGCACAAATATTTCTTTAAAACTGGCTGCGGCAAACCTGTCAAATACTAAAGTGTAAACTATCACAAACGACAAGAGACAACAAAACTTAGATCACCCTAATGGTGCTAGGCTGGGATTGGAGGTACATCTCTGCTTCTTCTTGGATGTCGAAATGGCCAATGCCGATTCTTTCGAAAGCCGGAATCTTGTTATCAGTAGGGCACTTGTCGTCGGTAGTACTGTGTTCAGCCGAACGAAGATCCAGAAAGATGGTGGCATTATCGCCGCCGAGATCGATCAGAGCCAATTCGAGAAGCTCCACTTCCATGGCCCGGTCAGCCGTAATATCGAAATTCTTCGCCCATTCTACAGTAGTATAACTCGCACTCATGGTACCATCCCGCGATGCAACTTTCAGAATAGTTTTGGAAGGTTTCTCATCTGTGAAACCAATGTGAGCTTTTGCACGTCTCGCGGATATGATCAATGTTCCAGCGAGAACTTCTCCAGTCAGATCCAAGCCCTTTAGAGTGATGGTAACAGACATAACTTGAGCCAATCCTCTACTATGCGTTCCATGCTGCTGAAATGTAATGGATCTTTGCCGTGAAGCCCACGACCAGCTAGGGGATGGATATACGTGAACTTTTAGAGTATTGCGAGTTTGAGAGTACGATTGCAGATCATCGAAGATGGTATCTTCCCATAACCCAGCAGCGTAAGAGCCGCTTCGCATAAATTGCATCTGCTTAGCAATCCCCTGCAATGCGGGCAAGGTATCAGTGTGAAATGTGAGGTTGAGCGTTGAGCAATAGCTCACGATTTCGTACCACTTTTTGGCCATCGAGCCGACTGTCTGGCTTGATGTAGGCGTATGTGGAATTTCCATCGAAAGGAACCCCGTAAGCCTACTTTTGCTAAGACCATACCACGATTGCGAGCTGCTCACGCCACATTCGCACGACCCTTTTCCGATGCACTCACAGAACAACTCTTCGTCGGCGAAGTGTACTACTCTTGGGGACAGTAGACGTTCCTGGAACGCCCAAGCCCTACTGAGCAGTGGAAGCTTTGCGTCGCCGAATGTTCGATGCTGCAATAACTTCTGACTATGCAGAGCAAAGGGTTCTACGCTCTCATGGCGTATCTTACCTATAGTATTGGCCGTGTTGCAGTCTGGGTCCGTATAGAAGCCACCATTGCAGTTAGCGGATGTCGTTGCTGCAAGCGTAATGAAACAGTTTGAATAGACGGAAGCCATTTTGCTGCCCTCATGTCGCCAGTCATCAAGATCGTCTTGCAATATGCACAATGAATCTATCCATAGGTATTCCAGCCCAAGAAGCCAGGTCAGATCGACACCATCCTTGAAAGTTCGAGGCAAGGAATTCCAGTCGATGTTGTCATGGAACCGCAGTTCGGTCGCGCGGGTCGTCTGCAAAGCGACCGAACCTCCCCAGCAGTGACTGAGACAGACATAACGTCCTCGCTCGTTCGAAGATGGCGTGTACAATCGAAGCTTCTGGTGCCCAATTATTTGCAACAACCGCGTCGGAAGCGGTTTCGGATCCGATGCGTAGCCACAGGTCATACTCCCATGATTTGTACTACAATGCTCCAGCCATCGTGTGATTTGACCCGCAGACAACGTTGCATCAGAGTTCGCGCGCTCGGTTCGTCTTGGTTTTTTTAGACGGCTATGGGCAGGTACTGTCTGTTATGTTTAGCACATACTAAACCGCTTCCATTACAAGACGACCCACTTTCGAGGATGAAGAGATCAACCTCCTCTGTTGTACCCTCATGGCTCACGCTTTCAAATCGAAGTTTGAGGGTACTGTCTTCTTCAACAAAGAGATGGACATTATCGTCCGTTCTGAGATTCATCCCGTACTCCCGCAGAACACAAGTCACTACTGAACATGATTGGCAGCCCGAGCGTGAAACGGCATTCGTTGCATGAAAGCTCATATCTAGGCCGTTGCTTGTCACAACCAAGTTTTTGCACACGGCGCGTTCACGCAATATGTTCTTTGGGACGCTTGCAAGAAGCACAGCAATGGCGGAGTCCACGGATGGGGTCCAAGCGGATGCGAGAATTGTCGCCGCTTGGGGCAGGGCCCAAATCGACCGACGAGTGTTCTTCGGCTTGAGGCCCATCTTGTCAGCCTGGATTCGAAGTACCTCGGGCTCTTTTAGGATGGATTAGGCAGGTTGGTTTGTGTTCATCATTCATCACATTGTATAGAATAGCGGGGTCAGTCGCCCCGAATGTCTCAGCCACACACTTCACGACCAGTCAGATCGCACGTGACATCTGAATTTCGAGATGGCAAAACATGATGCCGCCGTACTCATAGGGCCCTTTGCCTTTAGCGTGAGGCGAGTTACCAAGGTATGGTGGCTGGGCAAATCACTGACCAAGACCCATTCAGATCAAATCCGCAGCGCCGCCTTGGCTGTTGAATACGGAATGGGGTTATGCGGGTGGTTATCAACGCAGGGTAGCACGATACGTTATCGAAGGGCCCACAACCAAGCCTCTTTCGACATGACCGCACGACAACTTCCTGGATGCGGCAGCTTGACATGGGCCGTGTCTTGTGCGTCGATCACCATGATAGTGCAAGAATTTCTGTCGTTAGATCACTGATTGGGTCAGGACTTTCCAAAGGTTCGCGCGGTGAGTGTACTAGAATATCGTTATCTTCATCGCGCGAGCTATGAGTACATTGCAGGCTCGTGGTGTTCAGGCGGACATATTGTCTTCCGAGTCGTCTATAGTCGAGAAAGTAAACATGCCTGCTGAAGCTCTGGAATACGTCTCGTGCATGATGCCTGCATGAGGCGCAACGAAAGACCTGAAGAAAACAGGAAAAAAAAAAAAACGTAATGGGAATGGTACATCCAACCGTAATATACAACGCCAGTGGGTATCCTGTAAACAAAGCGAGGCTTTTACTCGTGAACGCCTCTGCCGAGTGTAGATGAGAAACTTTGTACATAAGGAAAAGAGAGATCGAACATTGTTGTCTTACGGGTTATGGGCTACTTCCTTTCCCTTCGAAGAGCGAGGGTGGAGGAAGTTAAGCCCGCCCTTGGCGACACCAGCGACGTTGAAATGCAGAGGCTCCTTGGGTCCCTTCTCCCTGACCGGCATCTTACGCTTGGAGCGACCCGAGACGTACATTGGCTGCTGCGCATGACCGTTGCCATTGACGTTGGGCATGCTCTGCTTCGATCGCAGCTTGGGCTTCTTGTCGCGATGCTCATCATCTGTGGTTTCCGTGTCGAAGCTGCGAAGGCTACTGCGCTCGGAGGAGAAACGCGGATGACTGGAATGGCTTGACGACTGGGTTGGCGCGCGCTGCAGAGGGGTCAGAGGGCTCAGCCTAGCAGAACGGATTGACGATGCTGTCTGAGCGCGCTCGATCGGACTCAGCATGGCAGCGGAGTTAGCAAGGACGTCCAGCCCCGAAGGCGCCCTAGTCGCCATCGAGTGAGTTCGAGATGAATAAGTAGGAGGAGGATCCTGGTAGTCGTACATAATCTCAGAGTCCAAGCTCTTGTATTTGGCAGTGCCGTCAAGCTCCTCGTCGTGTTCCCAACAGGTCTCGTCGATGCCGGTCACGGGAGGTAAGAATCGGATTTCGTTCCAGGTGACGTCTTCATACTGCAGGGTGATGTACAGGAGATCTCCCTGCATTTTGTCGTGCGCGATGCAGTGATCTTCCAGGAAGGGATAATCCCAAACACCGCGGTGAACGAGATCAGGCGGCAAGAGCGTCAGCGCCATGCGGCCATAGGGTTCGTCGGCTGGACGATGACCGGTCATTGGCATCCATGGTCTGCCACGGAACACACCCTTGAAGGCAGTCTCGATGCCATTCGCGAAACAGGAGCTATCCTGACTGGGAAACTCGAGGGTTTGTAGTAGCTTGCGCGAAGCACATCGTAGATAGCCGTTGCTGTCCGGATCGTACGCGAACCTCTGCGATTTGCGTGGGACGAAGACGACTCGAACGCTCCACGAAAGGGGGTACTTCTTATCAGTTCGGATCGGGAGTTGGCCAAGGGTGTGATTTGACTGCGTCAACAGTGGCATCGGCGGCGCAGGAGAGGCCTTGGGTGTTGACAGATGCGTTTTTGGCGTCGAGGCAGCAGGCGTGACGTCTCGCGACATGCCACTAAATTGCTCCACCCGGTCGACTCTGTTCTCCAAATCCATGCTGAACTCGTCTACCATGGTGAGCCGCTCGCCCTGCACCTTGATCTGATCGCTGAGCTCCGTTGTTCTATCCACCACAGCCTCGACTCTGTCATCAATAGACAGCTTGAGAAGTTGCATGTTCTCGTACATGCGTGCTTGTACTGCATGATTGGTCCGCACCAGCTCTTCTCGAGCAAGCCGCTCCCTGAACAGCTCCTGCTTCAAATCTTGCTCCAGCGTCTCGAAGCGCTTGACCTCCTGCTTCAGCCGCTTCATCTGCTCTACCGCTTGTATGTATGCCTCCACTGACACAGTCGAGATGGGCTGGGCCTCATGGTTCCACGCCTGGTGTCCGCACCCACAGCGAGAGCGTATGATGGAGTCGGGATAGAAGCTACGGCAAGGGCAGCGCTGTTGGGCGCCCTGTCCCTCAGACAACGGGAGAATGAAGCCGCATTCTCCGCGCGGGAGCTGAGCGTCGTCGCCAGGCGCGGGGTTTCCAGTCAGATGGACGGGGGCCTGGCTGTTGCTATGGAACATCAGGAGTCGACCTGAGGTGGTGGTCGTAGCGTGGTTGCTGTATGGGTAATGGGCGGCTCATGGAAGGCCGGCAGAGAGGGTCTCTGGGGGTATGGAAGGAGCGACTGTGTCTACGGTATCGCACGGCAGTGGAGACGAAGCCAAGAGCCTAAGGCACAACGGTTAGCTGGCGCGAGGCTCTTGTAATATACAGGCACAGGCATGTCGCTAGGATATGTATGGGGCTGGCGCACAAGATAAGCAATCATGGACTACGTACATTCAGAGCCTGACAGGCAGTGTACGCGGGAGCAGCCGAGTGGAAGGTGGCACAATCAAAAGGACGGGCAGACCTGTGCACCCGTGGGTGGAGAGGGAGGTTTGGAGCAGCGGTAGAGAGCGTAGGAGCGTGGTGGAGGTGCTGCTCGGGTTTTGGGGCGCTGGGATGTGCAGGTACTCTTTGTTTTTGGCATTGGAACTAGCTCCCGCGCCGGGGATGGCCAGCCCTGTCCTGGGCGGGGACAGTGCTGCACTGGTTGTGGGTGCGGTTGGAAGCTGGAGTTTGGGGTGTGTGGTGGCCGCCGAGCCAGGAGTAAGAGATAAGACTCACGCCCTCCGCCAGAAAACGCGCCAATGACACGGCGGGCGTGGGAGCCCCGAGACCGCCCTGAAGTCGCCGCAGGCCCCATGCGCTCTCTCATTGCGTGCCTGCGCTGCTGCAGCCGCAATGCCCTGCAGCACACCGGGTGGCTTCTCGACACCTCGCCCCTGTGCGACGCTTTATCGCGGCCACGGCATTGCGGTTGGCAGTCTCGCCCAGCATCTGATATCTGATATGCGCCTGTCTCCACCGCCCACCAGACATGCCATGCCCTGCCTCTGGACGGTGAGCCAAACCCCACACGAGCCGAGCCTGACGGCCTGAGGCCATTTGTAACACTTCTTCGTCATAGCAGACGCGGAGCAGAGTCCCGATTCTGCAGCGAGGATGCTGGTTCTGGTAGACGCTGGTCCACGTGCAGCGTCGTCAAAGGTTTGGATGGACATGGTCGTCACCCGTACCAGAAGCTTCGTAGGCGCCCGTGAGCGATGGAAGGATCCATGGTCTGGTCCTTATCGCGACTTCCTGATACACCCCACGCAGCCTGGGGTTCGCTTATCTGATTGGCTTCCCGTCGCATCAACGCAGAACAACTTTGGAACCGCCTTCTTTTTGCCAGCGCGCTGAGAACAGAGATAGTGGCCCGATTGTGGCAATATCGCTCAGTGCTACACAGCCCAAGAAGCCTGTACGCTGTACGTCCGTCGTCTCCTCTGCTCCTTCTACACCGCCGACGGCCATGTGTTGCTCGGGCTGCAGCGAAACGATCGCCATTTCACATGCATGTCCGTCACCTACCCGGCACTCAGGCTTCACGGCATGCATCAACATTCGCATCCGACCCAATGCCCGTCGCTCCTTCTGCACGAGGTCTTCGATATGGCAAGGTGCGCCTGCTCCATTGATACTCGAGCACCAGCCTCATCCGCATCTTCTGAGAGTCCATTGACGCATGCAGGCAGCGGCGTAGTGATGGAAGGTGCCCGTTTTGTCGAGTCAGGGGTCTGACAGTGTTGTGTCGATATCTTCTCAACCCAATTCTGAGGTCGACGCTGACCAAAACACGCCACATACGCCGCCCCTTGTTCGTGAGACAGACCCTTTCCAGCGCCCAACGTAGGCGTCACAGTCAATCGTCTCCAACGGCGCAGTGCCTAAAGAGTTGATGAAGTCTGCGGCCTTGCCACCAGGATGTTCGTCTTGAGCGCGTTCCCGTCAACGCGCTGTCACATGAGACGGTGTGTTAAGTCGGTCCAACGCCTCCAAGTAGCGCGCTGCAGGATCGCGCACCAGCTCAACCACCAAATCCCACGTAACGTAAAGACGTTACACACGCAGGGCCTCGGCGAAACGTGGACGATGTTTGCCACAATTACTGATTCGTCCCACACAGCGCGGCGTGTTCATCAAATTCCATGACTTCGCTTCCACCGCGGTGGAACCGATGGGGTAATGGATACCAGTTCCTTCCAAACACTGCACACTTTGACTGCACGTTTGCTCCTTCGAGAACTCCTGCTACCGCATACTTGGTAAGTACGACATCTGTACTACCACGGAAATATACCATTTCACGTCGCGAAACGTCGGTGTCCCACGTCCCCAGCGACATGCCATACCACTTTCCTTCTTCGGCACTGTCGCGGCGCGTTCGCTCAATGACATTGCATTGCTGACAGTTGCGAAATCGCGTCTTACTTGCGCCTTCGACTTCCCATCCACCCTATAACCCATCACTTCCGCCCAAGAAGGCTAGCCTCGCGGGAGTAGCCGTGGGGCAGCCAGCAATGTGTATCGCGCCCCTCCTGAAACGGCAGTGAAGTCTTGCGTACACTTCATTTGCTTTTCTGTGATCCTGCAACGCGTGCAATCGCTGCAAGTCATCGCCATACCTATTGCACCTTCTTTTGGAGGATTCCCCCGTGCTGAAAACTACGGTGGGAACCGTTGTTGCATTATAATACCGGCTCTGACCGGGCCTGTGCCTCCATCTCTGCTTTCGCGACGACGCCACATGCAACGCTCGAGCACGCGCGGCCCAGGAAGCATGATCGCTCACTTGTATACACCTGGTGCGATAACGTGGCTGACCATCCGTGAATCTGAATCAGAACGGCAACTGCAGTCAGCGGGGAGCGGTCCTTTTCATTTTCATGACTGCCATTGCGGTTGCGCAACTTACGGGTAGGGACGCGAAATCATAATTGCACCTTCCTCCCAACAACCTTCCAGCAAGGTTTCGGCTTGCTGACGATGTCTCACTGCTCTCGGGATTTGCCATGGACAAGGCAGGATGGGCAGGATGGGCAGATGACGTTGGCGCTCGGATCCCGAATCTGCCAAGATGTCCGAGCATCAAGCCGGACCTCCTCCAGCAGCGAGCCTAGAGTTGGGGGCTACTCACTTTGTTGCGCTCTCCACTACTCTCAGATTTGCCAAATGCCGGAAGAGAACTGGATTGCTCATGGGGGCGTTCCCGCGTGCGACTTATGCCATTCCCGGAAGGTGAGTCGCCGACCCAATCGGGCCACTACCTGCATTGCGACTGAAGCGTTGACAACCCTCAGGTGAAGTGTGATCGTAAAGAGCCATGTGCAAACTGTGTGGCGGCCAAGACGGAGTGTCTGCGCAACAGGCACAAGCGCGTTCCCAAGCCTAAAGTTCGGACGTAAGTGATTGCCCATTTCTCGTGCATATGACAGGTGCAGAACAGGAGTTCTTTTTCTCGATCAGCACCTCCAGTTTCAGCACTGATGATTATGCAGGGACGAAAAAATAAAAGCTCTCGTGGAGCGACTATCGAGTCTAGAACACTCAGTCCAGAGTGTTCACCGAAGCCCAAGCTTGGCGCAGGAGCAAGAAACTACGAATAGTTTTGCTATACCGACCATTGAAGCATCGTCAGATCGACCAGCAAAGAGACAGAGGACGACAAGTTCACTAGATGCGCCAGCCCCAGTGGCAGGCCCGGATGTTGATAACAGTCCCCAGACAGCGCATGAAGCTCGCGTACACATCAGCAAAGAGCTCTCTACCAATGGATTGCTGTCCGGCAATCAGCGCTCTGTCCTCGAGACCGCCATGTCGTTCGTTGACCAGCTTTCGCATACCCCAACACCGACCATGACCGATCGAAGTACCTTCGATGAGTCGATGCATGTCTCTACTGATATATCTAAGCGCGAGATATTCAATATCATACTTGGCAGTAAGTCGATATGCTTTGGGAATTTTGACACAGAACTGATGAGACTGCTAGCTGAATCTAAAGAACGGGGCAATGCTGCCATTCGCTACCACACTGTCGATCATGTACCACCAAAGGCACTCGAGAAGATTGCACTCGCCTTGATGGAAGGCAATGCCGACGAGAAGACCCTTAATTTGTACAAGGTCATTGTTCACTTTCAAGGCGCCGTTGTGCTATATGCGTCTCAGTTGCAAGGCCCCAAAAGCGCAGCTGTCCAACGGCACATCCAGCAAATGGAGTTCAATCATCTAACAGCAGCGCTTACTGCTCTGGACCGCATTAGTTTCCTAACTGCGCCTTCCCTACTACTTGCTCAGGCCTTGATCACCGGGGTACGTCAGCGGCGGCCGTGCTACTACAGGATGATTGACTAATAAATACCAGGCTATCATGATGCAAATCATGGGTAATCCAGTGAGCTGTTGGGAACTTACCGCACATGCATCGCGCACTATTGTAGCTTTGGGATATCACCATATTGATAAGCCAATGCCAGAGAATGATTCCGAATGCGAGATCTATGCACTTGTCGGCCAGTGCGCCTTTCTTGACAGTATCATGAGCCTTTTGCTGCTGCGGCCAAGGTCTCTCCCTCAACTTCCGGTCAAAGCCTCATACTTACTACGAGCTGATCCAGCCAGCCCCATGAGCATTCTCGAGATGCTTCCTGTACTTGACAAGATCCTGGATCTAACATTGGATACGAAGCCATCGCCGACTATACTCAACAACGAGGTGGCGCAACTACGGACGAAGATGAAGGACATCTACGAGCTTATGGAGAAGGAACGGCAACTGCATCTTTTGGATAGCAGAACGGATGCTCTCATACACTGGAAAAGCATGGAGTTCAGATACTTTTCTACCCTTACGTCAGTCCACCGCCTGAGTCCTACCGTTACGACAAATCCCTCGGAACGAGAAGAGTGTCTCCAAAGCGCTCGGAAAGCACTTGAGTGTGCAAAAGACATAGAGGAGCTCGGAAGATCTTTGGATCACTTCATCGAAGGCTATGATCCTTATCTCGCTTGGTAAGCGCAAGAATGCTTGATGCCTACACCGTTACTGACAAGTATCAGGAGCATGCTTTCTTACCCGCTCTGTCCCTTCTTTGTCGTTTTTTGCAACGTCGTCGGCACGTCCAGCGCCCAAGATTTCCAGCTCCTCCAGGATGTTACCGATGGCCTTTCCGCACTCGTTACGGAAAATAAATATGTTCACCGACTACATCGGCTGTGTGCCACACTGCTGGGTCTTTGTAGGCCCCTCGTACAGAATCCAGGTCTGCATGGACAGACACACCAAACGACTGGCGGATTGACTAGACCGTTGGCGACCTATCCTATATCGACAGCTTTCGAAAACGGTCCCGAAATCTTGAACAGTGGCGGGAACGACAACACTGCTGGTATCATGCCATCTTCATGGAACGACGACATGATGTGGCAGCTGTTCCAGTCGCAACCTTCTCTGGACTGGTTCAACGCTGATATATTGGATCCTTCTTGGGGTCTTGGACAAACACAGTAATCGCGAATTCGAGATGCTTAATACTTTGTTAACTACATCCGCAAGATGACTATGTTTATATGGTTCGGCATCCTGTTCCCGTAATCGCAGGATATCCAACATACATTATCTACTAGCAATGGTGATCAGCGCCGCAAGCGTGCATCGGCATTGGCATCCCTTTCCGGAAGGTACTTATAGCATGCCGCATATTGCGGGTACGGCACTAGACGCGCACGAATTCCCCGCAGTCGCGTCATGTTATGAATACCAAAAAATGACTGTACAACGAGTGCTATACTCCTCAAATAACCACTTGTAATTGAAACCTATTCCCTCTATCGGTTCCAAGGACAATGGCTGAACAGCCAGACTACGATTCGATAATTTGGCCCGTCCAACTCACGAGCAGAGTCCATCGTAAAAGCAACCCGATCCTGAATCCTAGCAACACTGCTCTTTCAGCTGCAGGCAAGACAGTCCTAATCACTGGGGCCACAGGTGGCATTGGTCGAGCGATTGCTGAAGCATGGATGACTGCTGGTGCTAAGGCCATCGTCATAACCGGAAGGAACGAGGAGAGATTGCTAGAGGTTGTCGGGAAGTTGGACGCCATAGCCCAAGATGAGACGACTGTACATTCCTTCGGGTCCATCGATATCACGAAGGAAGAAGATGTTGCAGCGTTGTGGAAGAAAGCAGGAGAAGCAGCGGGCCGAATTGATATTCTCATCAATAACGCCGGATCCCTGACGCAAGCTATGGTCGGCAAGGGTGAGCCAGGAAAATGGTGGCAGGATTTTGTAAGACCCCCCTCTATTTTGTATGTGCACCTTCAACGTTACTGACACCTATCCAGGAAGTGAACGTCAAAGGTGCATATCTCAACGTACACCAGTTCCTCGCCCAAGCGCCGGACGGGAAAGGCACCGTAATTACAGTCTCCACTGGAACGTTAGGCGACATCTATCCCGACTTCTCCTCCTACATCCCCAGTAAACTCGCGCAAACCAAGTTCATGGAGTTCCTTCACCATGAACAGCCTGGCATCCGCACATTCAGCCTCTTCCCCGGCCTCGTTGCAACAGACATGCCGCCGAAGCAGTATCTGGACTTTGCCGTTGATGACCCAATGCTAACAGGAGGCTTGACCCTCTTCCTATCTACAGAGAGAGCAGAGTGGTTGCGAGGCAGCATGGTGAGTGTGAACTGGGATTACGAGGAGATGGAGATACACAAGGAAGAGATTCTGGAGAAGAGGTTGACGAAGTTGGCTTTTTGTAATGCGAAGTTTGGGAAAGGAGGTCATCCTTGGGTGACGTGACTGAGGTTGAACAGCTCTAACATCCAGAAACTTCAAGTCGCGTTACCAAATGACATACGTACTAAGAACTGCGACTGTGCGACTGCTTGTATTTCCATTACACGCCCACCCAGCAATCGTCTGGCACAACATTTGACCCTTGCCGACCACAATCCGCCTATACACCATCACATCAGCCACCCAACATATCCGATGACGCGCTTTCAACCACCAACATGTGTACCTTCCGAACATGGTCATCCAATTTGTCTTTCCTTGGAAATGATCGGACACCACGGTCGCAACCGGGTACTGTGCACCAGAACATGTTGCCCGCATCTGGTGGCGCGTGAGCTCCGTTGTAATGACGAGTAAAATCCTGCCAGCGATTGAATGTCTTACCGATGCAGCTAGGTGCGCTACATCTAAAGACAAGCATTCCAAGACTATCTGTGCCCTCGATGGTGCCTAAGGTGTTGATGGTGGGTACATTCGCCTGGAATGTTTGGCCAACCTGGTCGTCGGAGTGGAACGACTGCGGTGATATGAAGGCGTTGTTGGATGTGTCTTGATCAGACATCAGTGTTGCAGGGTTTGAAGGCCTATTGTACAAGCCGAAAGGATCCTGAGTAAATGGTATGTAAAGACAATCGTGCCCGGCATTTGACGGCGTGCGTGACGGATAGATGATGCTGACTGGGTCTCAGTAAAGGTCTTCGAGGGTATCTGCCTCTACCTCTCACCTATCGAAAGAACCCATCTCTATACGCTGGAGCTGTGGCTCTGGAGATGGGTATACTGATCTGATCCATGGATAGCCGCGGATCAGATCTGCGTTCGAAGTATGATCGTACGATGACGAGATCTGGTCATATTCGTGCAGCGAAGCTTGGCTCGTATAGTTCCCATAACTCATGCCCATAGAGATTGGGGTTGGGACTGGCTCGAGTCTGGTAGTATTGGACGTATCGAAACAAAGTCGGGGATTGGTGTCGAAGTCTTGGTCGATCATTGGGGAACCGTTGACAGCAAAACCAAGAGTCAGCCATGTTTGTCACAAGCACAGGCTCTTGTTACTTACTTTCGGTCAAAGCGAACAGTCGCTTCGACACAGTGCTGGGGTAGTACATACATGAAGGATTGCACTTACCCATGGCACTATGTGTCCAGCAGCAACCATCAGTGTTATTATTGTCAGTCATCGTAAATAGATCTGGGCGTTACGATTGTCCGATACGGAAATAGTCAAGTAGCAAGCTCGCAGCCAAACGACTTCAAGATGAGAGCATGACACCCAGCTTTATAGACTGGAGTGACACGGAAAGTAACGACTCACCGCTGAGACACGTAGCAAAGAACTTGCCATCCTTGTGCGGCTTTGCCCTTCCCCAACGCCATGTGCCGTCATATTGCAAAGAACGTCGCATCGCATACCGAACATTTCTCCTAGGTGTGTTCCAAGGATTGCTTATTCTGGAGCCAGGCTTGCTTGGGTATTTTCCTGGCGCGCTTCCACGGACTTAGCGTACTAAATATGTGGACTGACCAGGCTCCTATTGGTCAGACACGAGACACTCACGGCGCTAGACCGCGCTAGCCGGTGTCTATGCTGTGGTGTATCTTATCCGCCCTGTAGAGTGCGATGCCGATACCTGGGTCGGCTTCAGACGAGGGGCCGACTGTGAACGAGGGGCACCATCGTTCGGGGGCAGGATGATGGCACCTTGGCGGCCTTGTTCGTCTCAATGAGGCCATACCTAGCGGCACCAAAATTGGCTGCCAATCCAAACAGCCTGAAGAGTATTGGCTGGAGCAAACTATCAAGACGGATAATGCTCATGTCTATCAGCATAGAAGGCGCAACATCCAGCCTCACAACTCCTGAGAGTGTGACAGTAAGGTGTCCGTGTACCAAACGATAGGCTGAACATCTGCTCACCCACTGACGAGGCGTGAGATCAGCCTCATCTTCTTACACGACTGGGATAGCGAGAAATTGCGAGTCAACCGTTCATTTGTTCCATAGTTTCTCGGTTGTAAGGTAGACCTGTAGCCAATCACTTCCAGAACTCGAAATAGCCGTAACTCGAAGACTTCACCATTATAAGCATGTAATGTGAACGTATTGAATAGGTTGTATTCTCAACTAGATTCTCAAGGGTAGTCATTCCATCGTTACAGAGCCTACAGCGAGTACCTTTGGGTCACAGCTTGAAAAAAGAACTTACTCCTCAACGAGTAACAAGTCGTTTGGGGTATCATTCGTTGCATTCATCGTAACTGTGCTTTACCGTGTCTCGTCAACTCTCTACCATGATCCCATACTTCATAAGTATGACCAGCTTACTGGTCATCCAACACCCCACCTCGTTATTGCATCTCCATCTCAACCTCCTTCTTCGCTGCCGCCGCTTGGCTAGGTTTTCTACTTCTGCTCCTGTTCTCTGCTTTCTTTTCCACAATGTCCGCTCCCAGTCCCAAATCGGCGGCCTGGGTCGACACAGAGTCAGTGGGCTGTTCCGTGTTCACTGCGGAGCTCATCTTCTCGTTGCTTTGTATAGGCTCATCCGGCTTCACGTTGACCGTATCTTGAATGACATCTTGCGCCCGTCGACTCGCGTCCATGTCGGCGCTCAGATCCGAGCTTGGCTTCACAATGTCTCGTGCGACGTCTTCGCTTGGTCTATTGCTTGCTGCCGCTGGGCTCGCTGCTCTATTCCCGTTGCCAGTGAATCCTAGCTTCTCGAAGCTCGCCATAACCCCTTGCCTTAGATCCTGTCCCAGTGCAGCTGCGGCATCGAGAGGTTTTGGTGTGTTCGATGCCATCGGAGAACGGTCGCCAACGGCGTGCGTAGGTGGAGGATGAACAGCCGTACCTGCTCCAGTTGCTCCCTCAGCGGTCTCTGTACCCGTCACGATAGGTTCCTGGGCTATTGGCGTACTTGTGCCACTCCTGCCAGTACCGGCGTTGCTGGTCTGTGGTGTGAGGTTAGGCGGCAATTGAGAACCAAAGCTATTCATTTCCTCATCTGTACGACCGAAACACTCAGCCCACCATCTTGCCTCTCCTTTCCGAGGGAAGATCATGCGCTCCTTGCCGCGAACAGCATCATCGATCTCAGGCTCGTACTTTGGGTTCATGAACTCTTGCTTCCGGCAAAGGAAGTAGTCCCACACGCTTCTTGTTCGCTCCTTGGCTCTGGTATCTATGCGTTCCTTCTCGTTGTCAAAGAGGAACGTTCCGTACTGACAAGAATAAAGATGGTAAAGTAAGCGCCTCAAGAAGCGCTCGCTGAATTCAAATCGGGTTGGGTGTTGGTAGTGCAGTTGGTATACGCAGTCGAGGAATTGGTGGAAGACTGGTGACAGCTCGTTCACCTTGGTGATGCGATGCTCTTCCGCAGCTCCGATCTGGGTCGGCTTTGCTGAAGTAGGTTCTGCAACATCTGTGCCGTTTTCCGGTACGTTCGTCTCTGGCAGCTGGTTGAGAGACTCGTTCGACTCGTTGTGTCGGTTGAAGAGACCCCGCGCGCCACGGAGAGCATTTTCAAAGGGGTTGCTGCCTCCAGTGCCGTCGCCCTTGCGCTCAATCTTCTCGTTCTCTATAGTGAACCATTTTTCGTGACTCAAGAAACCCGATCGGTGTCGAAACATGTGTCCAAACGATAACCAGTCTTTCTCGACAAGGACAATGAAGCCTTCCAATGTCCGGTAGTATGGGTCTAACAGGATCTGACTAAGTGCACTGAGCTGGCTCGTGCGATCCCAGCCATCGGAACAGTGGATGAGGACGTGGGAGTGCATGATCCCGACTGTCCGGGCTATCAACGCAGTCCCATCCAGTATGTTTGCAATATGCTTGATCCAGTTGCTCTTCGCCAGAAGCTGTCGATTGGGAGGGAAAGGTACTAGATCGGACTCTTTTAGAGCCTCGATGACGGTATCAAGCGACTTCCGCATGACGTGAATGTTGTCGATTCCGAGGTAGGCTTTTTCCGCACCAGGGTAATAGTCCATCTTCTCCGAGCCAAGTCCAACAGCTTGCATCGCATACGCATTGACTGTAGGTCTGGCATCGACAATGAGGTTACGCTGCTGGGCTCCGTATACTCTTGGTGCGTCCGGGTCTGTCTCCGAAGACGCCGTCAGATCGTCTGTAGTGGTCTTGCTAGTGTTCGTATTCTCGTCCACTGTACCCACAAAAGAACTATTAGCACTGGAATCATTCAGGTTCACAACGCTGGTGTCGGGAGTGAGTTCTGTAGAATTTGAAGAAGAGGCATTCGCTGGTTTCCACCCACGGTTAGTAGCCCAGATGGCTGCGACAAGCCGCTCGTCTTGAGGGTTCCGATTCCCGCGCAGACCCGGTGTGGGCTGTGAGCTTCTCGTTATAGAGCAATTATTGACGGGATGTCGGTAGACGAGGGCTGGTATGCGTTGTCGCGAGCGGTATTCACCGGCGTATCTGAGAACGCTGTCTGAGACGTTGGTGGGAACGACGAGGAGGGCGGGATATGTTGGCGCGTACTGTTCCACTCGTCAAGACCTGCGTTTGGCTTCACATGTTACATATGATGTACCTTGTACTCTACGTTGACTTCTGATATCCGCCAGCCCTTCTCCGTGTCCTTGGGGCTGATGCCCAGTCGCTTCCACTCGCGGCGGGCGTCGTAAATCTCCCAACCATTTTGCTGGTCTTCCGGCGGTTTTGGCTGGTAGCTAAAGGCTAGTAGCTTGTCCAGTCTACCAATCTTGCACGAGAGTGCCCGTATGCTATCGTACACGTCACGCGCTTTCTTCTCGTTGGGGAAGAAAAAGGCGAAGAAGGTAAAGTCGCGACATCGTATGCGGATCGAGGGCTCCTGGCGCAGGATGGGCGGGCACGGCTTGAGGGAACAGTAGTTGATCATAGGATACGTTATCCATACTTCTTTCTGTCGCGGTGGTTTCGCGTCTGCTGGAGCATCTGCGGGCAGGCTGGGGAGGTAGCTGAAGACGAGATGGTGGGGCATAAGATGCAGCGTGCCGTCGAAGCGCGTGCCTCTACGAAGCAGGTAGACGCCCTCCACCTACGGGTAGTATTAGCATGTCTTCAGTACTAGTTGAGGGACGTGGAGGGCTCGCAGCGACTCGTACCTTGCTTACGCGTATCCGCTCCATAACGACGGTAGGGTGGGTGACAGTGAGTGCGGGCGGCCCAGAGCGGGGTCGCGAGTCGCTAAGAAAATGAAGAAGCACGCAAGGCAAGCATCTAGAGAGAAGGATACAGGCAAATGAGAGGGTCAGGTAGTCAAGCGCGCATCGTCAACATGAGCTTGTCTGCATGTGCCCGCCCTGTCACGCTCATGCCTGGTCCCGCCGCTTGTCCTAGCACCACCTTGGCGAGCAGCGTCATCTACATCGCCATAGTCACTTTCTCCTTCACTTGGAAACCATTGGCTACTTTTCACACACGAAGCATAGGCATCATCAAAGTATCGAAGAGAAATTGCATTCAAAATGCTAGGTACGACCTCGCTTTTTCATGTACAGAGTACATCTGGAAGTTAGGTATCCGAGCACATAGTGCGAGAAGCTACATACTTACTAGACTTCGCCCATGAGCTTACCTTGGCCATAGACCAGCGACTGTTTGCTCAAATTAGATATACAAGTCTTCCAAGACCACCATTTGTGCTCCCAAGGACAAGAAAATCACTACAGCTGTTAATAGCTAGACACCATGTGGGCGCAGACACGAAAACACGCTGTGCGCGAACCGGAATCTACGCTATAGCTGCGACATGTCCATCTAAGCAGGAGGTGGTGGCGGTGGTGGGGGAGCGTCGCTAGGCGGGGGAGGAGGAGGCGCCTCGCCCGGAGGAGGTGGTGGAGGCACAGATCCAGAGGGCGGCGGGGGAGGCGGAGGAGGGCTACCAGCACCGCCATAGCTCTGGAAGAGAGGACCCAGGCCCGGAGGAGGACCGGAGGGAGGTGGAGGAGCGCCATAGCCAGGAGCACCGTATGCGCCAGGAGCGCCCATGCCAGCGTTCTGGTCGTAACCATAACCACCGTATCCGTAACCAGCACCTGCCGCAGGCGCAGTGGGAGTAGCAGAAGCCCAAGGAGCCGCACCGTTACCAGCACCATAGCCTTGGTCGTAAGACTGACCGCCACGGCCGCTGCCGCCAGCCCAAGGGGGAGGAGCAGCAGAGTTGCTGTCACCGCGACCACGGTCGTCGCCATCGTTGCGCGCCCAGGGTGCAGAACCTCCAGTAGGACCACGCTCCCAGGGCTTGAGAGTGCGCTCGCCTCCACCGTAGCTGTCTCCACCAGCAGCGCCGTTGCCGTTGTACTCGATCGCCGCACGGGGCTGTCCAGGGGCACCTCCCATCTCGGCCATGAAAGCGTCGAGCTCGTTCTCCGGAGCAGCGATACGAGCTGGCTGACCACGATCGGGGAAGCGGTTGTCGTTGCGCCAGGGCTGTCCAACTTTGCGGTCGGGACAA